GAAGCAACAGCACATAGCATATTGAAAGCAGCAGCACATAGCATAGTGGAAGCAACAGTACATAGTATAGTGGAAGCAATAGCATATAGCATAGTGGAAGCAAAACTACATAGCATAGTGGGAGCAACAGCACATAGCATAGTGGAAGCAACAGTCATATCATAGTGGAAGCAACAGTACATAGCGTAGTGGAAGCAACAGCACATATAGTGGAAGCAATAGCATATAGCATAGTGGAAGCAAAACTACATAGCATAGTGGGAGCAACAGCACATAGCATAGTGGAAGCAACAGTACATATCATAGTGGAAGCAACAGTACATAGCGTAGTGGAAGCAACAGCACATAGCATAGTGGTAGCAACAGTACATAGCATAGTGGAAGCAGCAGCACATAGCATAGTGAAAGCAACAGTACATAGCATAGTGGAAGCAACAGTACATAGCATAGTGGAATCAACAGCACATAGCATAGTGGAAGCAACAGCACATAGCATAGTGGAAGCAACAGTACATAGCATAGTGGAAGCAATAGCATATAGCATAGTGGAAGCAAAACTACATAGCATAGTGAAGCAACAGTACATAGCATAGTGGAATCAACAGCACATAGCATAGTGGAAGCAACAGCACATAGCATAGTGGAAGCAACAGTACATAGCATAGTGAAAGCAACAGTACATAGCATAGTGGAATCAATAGTACATAGTATAGTGGAAGCAACAGTACATAGCATAGTGGAAGCAACAGTACATAGCATAGCTTGAAAGCAACAATACATAGCATAGTGGAAGCAACAGTACCTAGCATAGTGGAAGCAACAGCACATAGCATAGTGGAAGCAACAGTACATAGCATAGTGGAAGCAGCAGCACATAGCATAGTGGAAGCAACAGTACATAGCATAGTGGAAGCAACAGTACATAGCATAATGGAAGCAACAGTACCTAGCATAGTGGAAGCAACAGCACATAGCATAGTGGAAGCAACAGTACATAGCATAGTGGAAGCAACAACACATAGCATAGTGGAAGCAACAGCAGATAGCATAGTGGAAGCAACAGTACCTAGCATAGTGGAAGCAGCAGCACATAGCATAGTGGAAGCAACAGTACATAGCATATTGGAAGCAACAGTACATAGCATAGTGGAAGCAACAGTACATAGTATAGTGGAAGCAACAGTACATAGCATAGTGGAAGCAACAGTAATTAAGTATTACTGTATCAGTATTTATACGTAATTTCAAGTTACACTTTATTCATGAAGAGCGGTATGTCCAATTCACAAAGGTATCGCAAAGGGTTCACAAAAGTAAAAAGATGGTACAATAACATGGAAATCCATCAAAAGGCATCATAATTACACTAATTCTTTTTGAATTTTATTATTCTAAATATATTGATTTAAAACTAATAATTTATGTATCTAAATATATTTTGATCAAACCGTAAAAAAATCTAAATTTTCTCTTCACAATTAGAAAATGTAGAAAACACATGACTGTCAGATTTGAATTAACATATTTGCGAATGTATATACGGCAAATTATGCAGAATAGGATATGCCCAGGTTAGAAAAGCAAATTTAAATATTCTTAAATTCATTTATTCAGGTTGTCAGGTTCTAAAGGACGTAAACGGAAAGTACATACATGTACATTGTACATTATACATGAAGAATATACAGTTAATAAACTAATTCAACATTCTTGTAAAAACTTTGAGAATTAAAATGGATAATATAATGAAATACTTTCGGTTGCAAACATTTGTGTTAAAAAACACTATTTTTTAAAAAAAACAATGAACAAGATGGACAAGATGAACAAGATGAACATAATAAACAAGATGAACATAATAAACAAGATGAACAAGATAAAAAGATGAACAAGCTGAACAAGATGAAAATATGAATAAGATGAACAAGATGAACAAGTTGAACAAGATGAACAAGATGAACAAGATGAACAAGATGAATAAGATGAAGAAGATGAAGAAGATGAACAAGATGAACAAGATGAACAAGATGAAAAAGATGAACATAATGAACAAGATGGACAAGATGAACAAGATGAACAAGATGGACAAGATGAACAAGATAATCAAGATGAACAAGATGAACACGATGAACAAGATGAAAAAGATAAACAAGATGAACAAGATGAATAAGATGAAGAAGATGAATAAGATGAACAAGATGAACAAGATGAACAAGATGAACAAGATGAACAAGATGAACATGAAGATGAACAAGATGAACAAGATGAACAAGATGAACAAGATGAACAAGATGAACAAGATAAATAAGATGAACAAGATAAAAATTGAATAAACAAGATGAACAAGATGAACAAGATGAACAAGATGAACAGGATGAACAAGATGAACATAATGAACAAGATGGACAAGATGAACAAGATGGACAAGATGAACAAGATGAACAAGATAAACAAGATGAACAAGATGAAAAAGATAAACAAGTTGAACAAGATGAACAAGATGAACAAGATGAACAAGATGAAAAAGATGAACAAGATGAACAAGATGAACAAGATAAACAAGATGAACAAGATAAAATTGAATACACAAGATGAACAAGATGAACAAGATGAACAAGATGAACAATATGAACAGGATGAACAAGATGAACATAATGAACAAGACGGACAAGATGAACAAGATGGACAAGATGAACAAGATGAACAAGATGAACAAGATGAACAAGATGAACAAGATGAACAAGATGAACAATATGAACAGGATGAACAAGATGAACATAATGAACAAGACGGACAAGATGAACAAGATGGACAAGATGAACAAGATGAACAAGATGAACAAGATGAACAAGATAAACAAGATGAAAAAGATGAACACGATGAATAAGATGAAGAAGATGAACAAGATGAACAAGATGAACAAGATAAACAAGATGAACAAGATGAACAAGATGAATAAGATGAAGAAGATGAACAAGATGAACAAGATGAACAAAATGAACAAGATGAACAAGATGAACATGAAGATGAACAAGATGAACAAGATGAACAAGATGAACAAGATGAACAAGATGAACAAGATGAACAAGATGAACAAGATGAACAAGATGAATAAGATGAAGAAGATGAACAAGATGAACAAGATGAACAAGATGAACAAGATGAACAAGATGAACAAGATGAACAAGATGAACAAGATGAACAAGATGGACAAAATGAACAAGATGGCCAAGATGAACAAGATGAACAAGATAAACAAGATGAACAAGATGAAAAAGATAAACAAGATGAACGAGATGAATAAGATGAAGAAGATGAATAAGATGAACAAGATGAACAAGATGAACAAGATGAACAAGATGAACATGAAGATGAACAAGATGAACAAGATGAACAAGATGAACATGATGAACAAGATGAACAAGATGAACAAGATGAACAAGATGAACAAGATGAACAAGATGAACAAGATGAACAAGATGAACATGAAGAAGAATAAGTAAAAACTAATCCTTTTAACCCACGTAAATTTCAATGCTCTGAAACGGTATACGCCCTTTTTAAAATACATTAAGCACTCAATAATTGCGCTCAATTCTTTGATTTTATCGCATTTCAGTGTGTGAACAAAGTATCGAGGAAGAAAAGGGTACAGATTGCGTATTGGATGCGTAATATCCAAGATCTTGAGCGTATGTTTGTCTGTCTGTTCATCTGTCTGTTTGTTGGTAATTTATATTCTTGGGTGCAGCTTCTATACTCACTAGTTCAGATCAGTCTCTTTTAGCATCTTCAGGAGTTCACATCTCCTCTTCCTTTCCTCTATAGGAGTTAACATCTCCTCTTCCTTTACTTTATTGGAGTTCACACCTCCTCTTCCTTTTCTTTATAGGCGTTAAGATCTCCTCTTCCTTTCCTTCTTCAGAAGTTAACATCTCCTCTTCCTTTCCTTTTCAGGAGTTAACATCTCCTCTTCCCTTCCATTCCTTCTTCAGGAGTTAACATCTCCTCTTCCTTTCCTTTTCAGGAGTTAACATCTCCTCTTCCCTTCCATCTTCACATCTTCAGTAGTTCACATCTCATTCTCCTCTCCTTCATAGGAGTTCTAAACTAGTTTCCTTCCTTCCTTCCTTCCTTCCTTCCTTCCTTCCTTCCTTCCTTCCTACCTTTCTTTCTTTCTTCCTTTCCTTCTTCTTTTCTAGGAATTAACATCTCTGTACTTCCTCCTTATGAGCTCAAATCTCCTTTCCCTCTTTCCTTCCTCATAGTTAATATTTTCTTTTCATCTTCTTACTTCATTAATCCTTTCTAAAATATTTTTTGTTGAAATCTTACTTTATGTCTTTACTTCAATTCTTTTCTTTCTTCTCATTTCCTTCCGTCTTTCTTTGTTAAAATCTCACTTCCTCCTTCTCTGATCTTCAGAAGTTGAAATCCTTTTTCATTTATCAGCCTGAAATTGTGTTGACCCAATCTTCCTTTAAAAATTCACTTTCAAAGCACGAATATAAATAATACAAATTCCTTTAAAAAATCACTTTCTCAGTAAGAGGAGAATATAAACTCTAAGGATTGGGAAGGTTGAATAAAAACATTTTTATAAAATGTTCACAAACTATAGGGAATATTTTCATGTTTTTAATTTTTTTAAATAATTACAATAAATGGTATATTTTTAACATATTATAGTTTTATTCTCACTTAAAGGAAATGATTACTCCTCTCAAACTATATAATTTTCTAATCCATATATCTTAGCAACCTGATGGTGTAAACGTTTTTTTCTCAAACTTTGGCGAACTTTTTCAAACATTTTAATAATGCGGACATACTCAGTATCACTAAACGATCATTTACAATGAAAGATGAATTATCATTAGAGGTTTTCAAATTAAATAAACCGGGCGTGATCATAAATAAGACCAATTAACTTCTTCAAGATAATTAACAGTCAATGATTAGTCAGTTTTTATTATAATTAATCAAGAATTAATAATTTAAGATTCAATTAATTTTTGCAGAAGAATTTGCAAAAAATCAGCAATGGCAGGGGTTCTCGAGAGAAAACCTTCCAGTTCACTTTTCAAGGAGACTTCGGCACAAAGGTTGGTTAATATTATCATTATCATCACTATCATCATCATCATCATCATCATCATCATCATCATCATCATCATCATCATCATCATCATCATCATCATCATCATCATCATCATCATCATCATCATCATCATCATCATCATCATCATCATCATCATCATCATCATCATCATCATCATCATCATCATCATCATCATCATCATCATCATCATCATCATCATCATCATCATCATCATCATCATCATCATCATCATCATCATCATCATCATCATCATCATCATCATCATCATCATCATCATCATCATCATCATCATCATCGTCATTATCCAGATCAAGATCATCGTATCGTCATCATGATTATGATCATCTCTTGTTAACACGATGATTATGATCATTATCATTATCACCATCATCATCATAATTATAATCATCATCATTATAATCACTACTTTTACTAGCATCATCATCATATTTATCATAACCTTACATCTGTCTATCTATATATCTTTACTATATGACTATCTATCAATTTATTGCTTTATCTATCTATCCATCTATCTAAATCAAGCATCTAAACTGCCTTTGTGCCTACATGCACTGTACAATGTTCACATGCCGGAAGGTTTCGCTCTGAAGGGATTAATTGCAAAGGACATAGGTGGCTTTTTTCTTGATAGATAGATAGATAGATAGATGGACAGATAGATAGATAGATAGATAGATAGATAGATAGATAGATAGATAGATAGATAGATAGATAGATAGATAGATAGATAAACAGTGACTGACCATGATATAAACGTTAAAAGACACGATACTAACATTAAACAGACATGAAACAAACATTAAACAGACATGATACAAACATTAACAGGCACGATATGCAAACATTGACTGACATGATATATACATTGCCGAAAGCATACAAACATTGACAGACAGGATACAAATATTGACAGACATGATACAAACATTCACAGACAAGAAACACGATGCAAACTTTAACAGACTTGATACAAACATTAAGAGGACACAGAGTACTAACAGCTATACAGACAGAATAATAACTATATTTAATGCTGAGCCATATTAAGATACCTATCAACTACTCAGTAGACCATTTTGCAGCCTAGATCTTTTTATATCTGTCCCCCCCCCNGATATTTTAATAATACGAAAAAAAAAGTAGGGATTTTTTCTAAAAATCACAACATTATGTCCATTGCACACAAAATTTTGACGAAAAAAATAGCTTCCATCAAACTAAAAACAAACATACGTTTTGGACAATAGGAATGTATATTTTAAAACTTATTTTAAATTAAACTTTCAAATATTCTATCTTTGTAAGTTTAGACGATTATCTGCATCTCAATAAAAATACGCAAATATATAGGATAAAGACGCATGCTGTAAAGCCTCTACGCATCCATTCAAATGGAATTTAATGACGCAGAATTTGAATTTAATTGACATTAATTGCCCACACAATAAACCACCCTTAGGTTATCAATTAAAAACATAAACACAGCAAAATGGTTTCAAACGCACTCTTTCTCATTTAATCTCCTTCTCAACCCTCACTCCTTTCTCCTTCTCAACCCTCCCTCCCTTCCCCTTCTCAACCCTCACTCCCTTCTCCTTCTCAACCCTCACTCCCTTCTCCTTCTCAACCCTCACTCCCTTCTCCTTCTCAACCCTCACTCCCTTCTCCNCCCACCCCACCTTCCCCAAGCCTCCCCCATTCCTTCCAACCCTCCATTTCCCATCTTTCCCACTCCTCCTCATGCCTCACTATCCCTCCCCATATCATCACCCCATCCTTCCAATTCCTTTCCTTTCCTCCTAATCCTCTCATCGAGGGGAGGAAGGCCAGTCACAACAATTTCTCGTCCGAGCCACATTCTCCTCATTTTCTCGTCCGAGCCACCTCGGAATCCTCGTCCTTCAATTATTTTGTGTTAAAAAGTTTCCAATTCTTGAAGATAAAACTATTTTTTTTAATCTGGCCACGTAAGGGCATAAAATATTGATGGACTAAAAGTATTGCAATGATTATATCATGTTGGAATCTTCAAACCCATGAGAATGATGTCAAACTTAAATCTCTTCTGCCTCCGTACTGGCTAACCTTCGTGATATAAAATAAATAGCAAAATATTCGGCATGCCTCTGCCTATAATTTTCCCCATGGAACCACCCGGAAAAATTCGATGGTTTTCACTATAGTTAACAAAAAGATTGAAGTTCTATAAACTTGAAATTATTTGCGGCATTCTACACCAGAAATATCTGAAAAATGCGCGTAAAAAAGGTGAAAATTTTTAAAGACGTTAAACTTGGAAACTTTTATTCAATTGAAACTTTTTTTCGATTTACAAAAATTTGATGTTTCATTTATGCCCTAACGTGGCCCGATTCTTTAAAAATAGTTTTATCTGGGAGGATTAGACACTGTTGTGGTTGACCTTCCTCCCCTCCCTCATCTCTCCCTCCCTCCCCATCCTCTGCTGTTTCCGATGGGAAATTATTGTTTACTTTAGTGTCCACTGTCCACAATTAACCGTCGATATTAAACCATCGATACCCTCCCCCTCCCTCCCTTCTCCATTGTATCGTGAAAAAAATACCTTCTTCCTGAATAATCATATTCTCCAGTGTGCAATATGCAAGATAAGGCATCATAAAAACATTATTCTACAGCACATGGAACATTATATACAGGGTGTCCCACGAAACATGACAGTTCCATAATTTGTTAAGTTTTTCAATACCAAAGAGAATAATAAAAAATATTATATGGCAGTCATATTGTAGTGGAATTGATTGTAAAGTAAAATATATTTGATTAAAAGATTTGTTGAACGAAATAACTTCAAATTTAACATCTATACGTAAGATGACAATTCGTGGTACACCCTGTACATACATATCAACGTATGTATTGTAAAGGGGTTTTATTTTGCCCTGTAAATTGAAAATATTAGATTGTTGCATTAAAAGATGTTCTTTTTATAGAATTAATTCGAAATTCATTGAACTTTTTAAAGACCTGTTAATGGGCCTTTTATACCACTAATTAGAACTAAGAGTGTTAACATCGATAAGGGACTGTAAACATTATGAAGCAAATAGTTTTATACTATGAATATATATGAAATATGAAATTTAAAATCCGGTGATGGTGATGAACCAAACCTCTGTAGAGTAAAAATAGCAGATGTTAGTTTCACATTTATTGAAAATATATAATTCGGTCTGGGTTGACCCTTGTCAGTTCTAACGATATAATAACCATCAAAATCGATAAAAAAATCTAAAAAAAATCTGGTTTCTCCTTTTTCTCCACTTTCTTTAAAGCAACTTCAGAATAAGACAATTTTTTGGGAATTCATCCTCTTAAAATAAAACTGATCAACTTAATGTGGAATGTCAAATTCTGATAAAATATTGCTATTAAGAAAGAACCTGAGTTCGAATAAAAATTATCAATTTTTTTTAAATATCAGAATTTGATTTTATTAACTTGGGTCTAGTCGTCTTCCTATCTTACTGTTTAATGGATCCCACTCTACGTTGGTATAGCGTGCTAAATCTAAATGGGATTATAGAATGAAGATGAGTATTGATGCATACTTGTATAGGGGTCAACCAGGCAGTCACGTGCTCTGGGGTGGGGGGGGGGGAATGGAAAAAGGGGATGAGAAAAGGAAGCGGGCGATTGTGAGCGATCTTTTGAATATTAGGGCAAAAATTCTAATTATTAAATCTAAGAAAGAAATAATAATTGTTGCAATTGAACTAAAACATATTAGAAATTATTACAAACGATAAACTTAGCGTCAATACCACGTTTTGAGGATCGAGACAACAAAAATAACAATGTTACTTTGTATCTTATTAATAATGGAGCCAAAAAAAACCGTTTTTTATTTGGTGAACTATACAGATTTTAGATGGAGTAGATAAATTGTAAGATAAAAATAGATAGAAAGATAGATAAATAGATTCATTAGATAAATAGATAGATTGATATACGTCTACATTAGATGAATAGATAGATAGATATACGTCTACAATAGATAAATAGATAGATAGATAGAAGGATAGATAGATGGGCGGATATATTATATCTAAAACCCTATTTTTCTGTGTTCAGCGGGAAAATTAGAACTGTCTTTCCATCGAAAGTTGCACTGCTATATAGTTAGGCCTTGTTTACCGCCTGATTATATTGGCAGGCCTAGAACACTAATCTTAAGCCAGACTTCCGGGGAGGGAGGGAAATAAATGCAGTTGAAAGGGGAATGCCTGACCTCTATCTATCATATCAAAACTAAATTGTCTTCGAATCATATTTATCTATTCATCTAACCCAATTGGTTTAGTTATGAAAACAATATATGTTCAACCTTCTCACAGTAGTACATAATATTATGCTCAACCTTCTCACAGTACATAATATTATGCTCAACCTTCTCACAGTACATAATATCAAATTATGTCATTCAACAACTGTTAAATTTATTTTCCTTCTTCGACGGTTATTTTTAAAGGAGCTCAGCCTTGTTTTCCTCGGAATGATGGTTTCCCCAGTATTTATTTATTTGCATGGTATGGGTTACCTACAAAGAATAATACTTCAGAGACGACTGTACAGACTTTATACTGTCAGTTTCTTCATATTCATGATTCCCTGCAACTGCAAACTTGTTTGTTTCTTTGTCAAATCATTAAATAAGCTAGTAGATTACTGTATATAAGGCAAACAACTTGTCTAACTTCTTTTTCTGTCGTCTTTACAGTCTCATCCTTTGTGGGTTACCCTGTTTATATATATTAACACATGTTATATTATTTTACAGGTGAATCTAGCTATATTAGCACCAGTTCACAAAACATTAGTTTTTGTTAAATACTTAAAAAATAAAATGCATTAAAACCTGAATTTATTTTCTAATTTTAATAATTTTATTTAATCTATTTAAATTGTCATCGATTATCTTTCGCCACATTTGTATATAGTTTATATTTTATAATATTTTTTAATTAATTTGTTTTGAATTTGATTATTTCTCTTGTTGCTTGCGCAACTATCTAAGAAATCCGCGAACCACTTACAGTTTTCAAAATCCGTTAAAACGTTTTCTAAACAAATAAAATATTGTAAAATATGAACTATATACAAATGTTGCGAAATATAATCGATGACTATAGGTTGTAATATCTGAATGATTTCTTTGAAATTAAATTGATGTTATATGGTCTAAGTCATATGTTGCAATTTTCTGAATTTGTACGGCGCTAAGTTATTCGGTATGAGACGTCTTTAACAATTTTCTCCTTATAGACGCAACTGATAGAAGTCAAATTAGTGGCGATCAAAAGCGCTTTTTTATTGCATTAAGCATATACCCCCTTTCATTTTTCGCGAACACTCCCTTTAAGCGCGCCTTTATTTCTTAAATTATTGGTTCCCTGTAACTATGAACTTGTTAAATTCTAACAATTTTAGTCTTTAGATCCTTGAATTTTAGGCGTTTAATTAAAGTCGTATTCTATGTGGATAACCCCGTAGTGTGTAATTGGAATAATATCAACAATAATAATCATTAACATCATAGCATGCCTCCCTTTTCATGTATTATGCCATTTTTATTGTGCTCTCATGGCTGCCTTAATACAATTTTTCCTTAAAACTTAGATTCTTTATGTTTAATACCAATACCAGTTCATCACAGTTCAGACTGCCTAATTCTGTTGCATATCAATGGGTACACTAGATGGGCTGGTACGGTAAAGACTAAATCGGTATTCTGGTACAATTTATGCAACTTTTGAACCAATGTTATTTCCATTTTTGAGTTTTAAAAATAGTTATGTTTTTGCACACTTTTGTTTTCATTTACAATTTCTTATATTCTGTTCCATTACCTACAAGCAATTCCATTTTGTATTTTAGCATGTGCTAATTTGCAACACGCTTGATTAAGCCCCCTTGCATTCTTTTACATTCTGTTGCGTTGCATCCCCCTTTCTGATATTATGTTCCATGATTGTAGGTTTTGAATAGAATAGAATATTTTACTTTGAATATTCAGCTGAACATGATATTCTGAATATAACGGGAAAAAGGGACCATTCGGAATAAAACATGTAAACAATAAATTCTATTTTAAAATTGACTGAAGACCGAATCATAAAAAGAACTGAATTTTTAACATACATAAAGGGGGTTTTTCTATATATATAAAGTAGTAATCTCTGCTTGTTTGTTTTTGTGTGTCCGATCATACTCAAAAGGGGGGGGGGGGGGATTTGACCTTTTGCAATATTTTAGATATATGCAAGCTAAAAAGAATTCGCGACGGGAGCCCTTTTTGTGTTGATTGATATTTAGAAAAAGCTGACTGATTTATAACGATTAGCTCTTTAACATAAAAAGTAGTATCTTGACTTTAACAAGAACATTGACTTGAATATTGATCATTAAATTGCTAGAAAAATGTTACAAAATTTGTTTTTCACCCAAGTACAGATTTGAACTGTTCAACATGATTAAAGTATGCTGTTCAACTTGACTAATATTTTTGTTCAAGCTGACTAAATGTTTAATGTTTAGGTTTCGTCGTGAGAGTCTAGAAATGTGGGAGAAGATACAAACTGAAGAAAAACACGAGGTAAAATAATTTGGAAAATACCAAATATTCATTTTACAGTTTTTTTTCTCATATTTCTAAACCCTTTTCTTCTAAACTCACGGACTCTTTTGACAAAAAAAAATACCCTAGGACCTTTCTTGGGACAGGAAAGGTTATAAGAGTATAGACGGAGGGAAACAAATCCAACTGTAAAGTAAACTTATAAATCTTCCGGTCTAGAAATTTAGATAAAATACCAAAGTATTGTCGAGATTCAAAATTCTCAAGATTAGTTTATTTTTGTCGATACAGGGAATTATCAAATAGTTCGTACAGAAAATTAAGAGAAAAAAAGAAAAAGAGAAGAAAAATAAAAAATAAAAGATTAAAGATAAAAAATAGAAAAAAATTGTTATTAATTATATAAGAAAAATAGCTATACAGAAAACATCTAATATCTGTTTTTTTAGGGTCACCCATTCAAAAGCTAAATTTATTACAAGAAAGAAAAGTGCAAAGTGCTTTCGAAGCTTAGATAATAATTAATAAATAAATTAATAAATTAATTTTTAAGGATGGAGAGGAAAACAAGGACGGAGAGGAAGGATTGGACAGGATCAAACAAATTGCTGCTCGAAGAAGAAGTCTGATAATCCTCAAACCATCGGAAAAATCGGAAACCCAAAAGTAAAGTTTTTTTTTCATTTAAAAATGTTCAATGATAAATGCTCAATATGACGATTAATGAAATTCTTTAGTAAAAACAAGTCCTGAAAAAAGTTGTTTAAAAATCTTTCACAGAGATCTTTTTTTGTTGGACTTAATAGCTTGATAGAAGAATATTAGTTTTTGCAGGAAATTTCTCTTCCTCATATTTTAAACAGATGGATGTTTTTACTTATTGTATAATTGGGGTGGAGGAATGTATTGATATAAAACTGGATAGATGGATAGTTGAATTAATATATAGACGGGAGGAGAAGGATAAATAGATAGATGGATAGATAGATGGAGAGATAGATGGATAGATAGATGGATAGATAGTTAAATGAGTTATCTAACAGATAGATAGATATCGAGATGGAGTAGATAAATTGTAAGATAAAAATAGATAGAAAGATAGATAAATAGATTCATTAGATAAATAGATAGATTTATATATATATATACATATTTCTAAATACTTGGGACATAAAATGTCGTCATCCAACTATGAGTTTGGTCCACTTTAGTATTTATTCACTTTGAGTATAGTGAGGTTAATAAACGATGAACAAGCGAAACGGATCGTTCAAAGAAATGTAATAACGGCCATTGTTTTTATCCACTATGCAGAAGGCCCAAATGACATACATTATTACAATGATGTGCGTTCGCATGATTAATAAGGTTAATGAAATAAAATTCTTGAATTGATTTATCTGTTTCAATAAATACTAATTATGGGTTTTTACCCTGTTAAAACATAATCCTTAGTTTCCATCAAAAGGAATGAAGTCTTTGTCACAAACTTTGATTTTTCTTAACCCTGCATCTTTGCAAGCCAATGTCGTAGACCTTAGATATTTCAAACTATAAATTCTGATAGATCAAATAATCAAAGTTTGAAATATCATAGGTTTACTCCATCAGGTTGCAAAAATAAAAGGATTAAAAAATTTAATTTTTTTGCAAAGGCTCGATTCCTTTGATGCAAATTGATCAAAGGCTCATGAATTATATTCGGACATAAAATCAAAGTGACCAATAGAGATTATTACTTTATATGTAAAGATATATTTATATTAAAAATGATATATTTACATAGAAATATGATTGTTTAGAAAAGACGAAATATTCCCTCGGAGAAGTTTGAGTAAATTTGTGAAAACCAAACCTGCTGTTTGGGAAATAAAAGAAAAGGTATTTTTGTTTATTTAAATTAAATTTTAATCCAGAGTAATAGTATCGATTACGACTTCACTATATTACCTGTATAAAAATGGCCTAAATTTTCCTTTGACAATTTTTGTGTCTTTTATAATCAGTCTTTGATGCTTTTTGCCCAGAGATTTGGCATTGTTTGTGGCAGTAACAGGGTTTTTATTTTATGTTTTTTTTAACAGGCTCCAGGAGAATCTGACATATTTTATAAATTTTATAATTATTATCTTTAAAAGTTTGGTTTTATTAAATTTTATAATATTTTTACTTACTAGACTTAAGTTTTCGGGCGCAAGGATTTAACCTGTATTATTTTAAAACTGCCATTTATCTTTGAACATCATAAAAATTTCGCAGATTTTTTTTTCAATTGAAGGTTTCCAAACAAAATGAGATATAATTTTCACAAAAAAGTGCACCATTTTGTTCTACTGTTTTCATACTGCAGTTGTAACTTGTAAGAAGTAATTTCTAGTGTTCGGGTAAACCAGAAAATGGAACATGATTCCATCAGACATCAAAGATTCTTCTACTGTGAGTATCTTAAAAAGAAGATATGACGAATATAGAAAGAATCCGTGACCTGCTGTAAGAGATATGCAAAACTAAGAAAAAAACAAACCAGAAAGAACAATCAGCAACTCAGTCAACTAAATCATCCTCATAACATCTCTATATTTTCTGCAGGAGGAGGAAGAGAAGGAGGAGAAGAAAGAAAAAGGAACAAAAACAAAAGGAAGCTTGAAACAAAAACCAGAGGAGGTTGGTTTATAAGAAAATAGAAAGTTATTTAATAGAAACGTTAATACACAAGAACAGTGTCACATTCTTAAAGGGACTGTAGAAGTAATTTTAAATGACCCTCCATTTAAATAAAGAGCCTGTCTGATTCACAACGGTACCCTTTAAATCTATCTGATCAATAATGCATGGAATACGTCGTCGTTATTTTAGCTTGAAAATGTCCTCCATTGTCTTTAAAGCAAAATGTACAAAGAAGAAACGTCACAATTAAAGTTTAATCAATTTTCAAAGAGGAAACAATGGACATCTCGTGCACAGTTGATCAGACAACACTTATAAGGGTACCGTTGTAAATCAGACATCATGCTCATAAAGGAAAATCAAATTGGAATAAATTGAATGTTGATAATAATGATGATATTAATACTAAAAACTTGCGCGTGTGAAACATATATTTAATCTTTTATTATTTAAGATATCGTTTTCAGAAGTTGAAAATAAACAAAATGCTTAAAAATGTGTATTTTCATTTTAAATAAATCTGTTTGTCTAGAAGCTGGAGACTGAAGAGAAGAAACCAGTAAGAAGAATAGGAGAGAAGATGGCTCCTGGTCAGAATATTAGAAAAATATAATTAACGAGAGTTGATAGTTTCGTAAAATATACCGTTGTAAGGCCGGACTATACACCTTATTAAAGATTTGTTTGCAGGATTCATGACGGTGCCTGACAATATGATCTTTGTCTTCAATAATAAATAAATTCCGTTTTTTATTTCATCGTTTTGTCTCTCGGCACTCTTATATGGAAAATCACAATTGAAAATTATCGAAAGTTTTATATATAGCGTTGTGAATCCGGCTTGCATCTCTTTGAAATTAATAGATAGCGTTGTGAATCTGGCTTGCATCTCTTTGAAATTAATAGATAGCGTTGTGAATCTGGCTTGCATCTCTTTGAAATTAATAGATAGCGTTGTGAATCCGGCTTGCATCACTTTGAAATTAATAGATAGCGTTGTGAATCCGGCTTGCATCTATTTGAAATTAATAGATAGCGTTGTGAATCCGGCTTGCAACTCTTTGAAATTAATAGATAGCGTTGTGAATCCGGCTTGCATCTCTTTGAAATTAATAGATAGCGTTGTGAATCTGGCTTGCATCTCTTTGAAATTAATAGATAGCGTTGTGAATCCGGCTTGCAACTCTTTGAAATTAATAGATAGCGTTGTGAATCCGGCTTGCAACTCTTTGAAATTAATAGATAGCGTTGTGAATCCGGCGTGCAGCTCTTTGAAATTAATCATTAGTCCCTTTAATTAACTTTAGCTTAATAGATTTAAAGATTTTCTTGGACAGGGATGTATATTTTTCAGAAATGAGTTTGGAGAGTCAGGGGGGATAGAATTTTTTAAATGATAAGAAAAGATTAAGAAAAAATCATAAGGGGGAAATGTTTTTTTCGAAAAAATATCCACCCCTGTTCTTGGATTTGTTCCATATTTCCATTTAAGCGCTTGATTTAGTCTAACCTATCCCTATTCTATGTTCTTATCATTATGGCATTATGTTTTAACCATGAAAATATATATATATAAAATTCATTTGTTTTTAATTAAATGGAATTAATAATTACGTTGGTCGATTATATTGATCTTTTAAAATCAAAATTTTCTAAACCGCAGATTTTTTTCTGAAAAATCAAAAGTTTCTGCGTATGTAATAGGACAGGAATAATAAAGTCAAAAATAAATCAATATTTTTTTAATGTGTATTGTGAACTGTGAATACTGAATATAGGACTTTGAAACCCACTACTTTTTCGGTCATTTTAATTAAGAATTACTGTAGCGTAACTTTCGAAATGTTTAACTCCCTAAATTGACTTCAAGTGACCTTCCATTTATGAAGAGGAATGTCCAATTCTCAACAGTACCCTTTAAACCTTTGTCCGGACGATGATTAGGTAGATACCCTCATTTAATTGTATATCTGAAGATCGAGTACCAAGACTCGAGGTTAAAGTGTACACTGTACTCTCCGGGCTAGTGTACACTTGCGCAGTTTCTTGGCATTTAATTTTCCACTTCATGACACCACCCCATTCACAGTCCTATTCTAAGTCTGTGATGTGTGGCATTATACTAAGTAGCCTACACACCACCTATCAGGATGGCTGCCTTATGTACTTCCATATCTTGTGCTCATATTGTGATTTATTTATTCTTGTGTGAAACTTATGTTTTTGAGAACCTAAGGCTTCCATGCTTCAGAGACAGCGCTTTGACGCCTCCCATGCGATATAATGATTAACGTTATAAACGCTCGTTCCCGTGGGACCGACGCTCCTCTGGACTGGTTCGCATTCCTTATCTCTCTTCTGTCCTTTGTCACGCCTGGTAGGTGTGATGCTCTCTTGCTCTTCACAAGACTGACCAGCCGGAGTAAATAAGAATATCTACGAAATCCTTGATCAAGCAAGGTTTAAGGGTATCGTTATAAATCGGATATGCCACTCGAAATTACCCTTACAGTCCCTTTAGGTTCTTAGCTTTTTGCTCCTTACATTTCCTTCATCTCATTACATCTTGCTCCAACTTAAAAATTAATAAGAAAATTTCATTGAAAATATACAGATTTATTCAAAAAGTAGGATATATACGTTTCATCTCTACAAACAACTGATTTTCGTACGGAATTACAGGGCGTTTCATTATACGTAAAATATTTTTCCGGTAAAAATGAAATAACAATATTTTTTTTAATAAAAGCCTTTTTCCTGACACCCTGTTTCTGTTTTGTCTCTAACCTGAGGCCACCCTATTAAGGACAGAAAAAGAAAATGTCCGAATACAGTTTAACTAAAAATTTTCAAATGGCTCCAAATTCTGTCAATTTTGGCGCAATATTTATAGTTTCATCTTCTTCCGCTCCGGGGCAGCACCCTTTAGTTCTTCACCACCGACACTACGCTTCCGCCCACGCCTAAGAACTGTGGCGGAGTCTGAAATTTTTAAGATCAGAAGATGAAAAACAAAAAACTTTTAAAAATAGGATAAACTATCTTGATTTAAAATTATGATATAAAAATGTAGTTTTATAAATAAAAAAGTTTGATCAACAACTGTTGCAGTGTTGCAGTTATTGGGCAGCGAAACCTACTTCGCTACTTTAATCAGGGGTGTATATTCTAACTAAGAATTGTTTTCATATCCCCCCATTAGATTGAATTTATTTCCCTTTTTGGTAGCGCTATCTTGCGTCTCGAAGAAATGAAAAATTGTGGCGGTGGGGAGGGCTANCCCGACATATTTTCTGATTTATCGGGAACCTTCCTTATTAAAATTTATTTTCTTCCCCTCCCTATTTATATCCAATTTTGATACCCTCCTTCCCTTTCAATAAAGAATATACGCTCCTAGATTAAATGCATTCTTAACAATAATCCACACAGAGAATAGTTCCAACCTTTATTTATGTTAAATGGTTCTGATCTCCTGGTTCTAGGATTGGAGATTATTTCCTTGTTCTCCTTACTAGACCCAGAGCTGGATGGACTGCTGGAACCTGGATAATTCAGGAGTTAATGGGATTTAAATTCTAACACAAAAAATTATCTTGAATTTTTTATCAGGCAATAAAATCTACCTTTGTCATCTGAATCACTGCCGTCAGACCCATTCCTGAGGTCAATATCATCCTTGACCGACCTCAAGAGGTCAGGCCGGAGGTCAAATCGACAATCAGATTTCGTCATCTCAGCTTTCTTTATATCACGCTAAAAATAATCCAATATCAAAAGTTTATATTTGATCATTGGTCTGAACATCGACTGAGATATTTTTTAATCCTCAAAACAAATATTATGCAGTTTATGCAGTTAATTCGGAAACATTGAAAGAATTTGTAAAATGTCGTCTTGACAATTTTTCAATGGGTTTTAACTATTTTACCTTAATCTTACTATTTGTAAAAATAAATATATAGCCATGAAATATGCACTGCATGCAGGGACAGTTTCGAAGAGCTTTAAGTAATTACTCAATAAAAGTAAATATCTGCAGTATATAGATTACAGGTATGGAAAACGACATTTTATAAATTCTTTCGATGTCTCCGAAGTTTTGAGTTAAACTGTATCTATTATTTATATGCAACTATTTATTTTTATTTCACACATATGAATTATAAATATCCCCATTTCCCATACCCGATTTAATCCATATCTATATTTACGCTGCATACTCCTGTCCCCAATACGTGTTATCTAATTTTGCACAGGTTCTACAAATTATCTTTCATCTTGTGCCAAAAACTTAAAAATCGGCACAAGACGACATTGATGGGGATTTTGGTGATTTTGGTATAGTTCCTACCCCTGCTGCTACCGTTCCTGTTCTGCTACAGCTCTTGCTACCGTTTCTGTAACTACAGCAGTTACTACAGCGTTTCCTACCATTTATGTTCCTACTCCTCTAGATTTTGCTCCCGTTTCTGTCCCTTTTTGCTGCTTTTCCCGCATTGCTAAATTAACAATTTACTAACAATTTTTGCAAAGAACTCCCTCTACTGCTACCGAAACAGTTATTGCTACTGGTGATACTGCTAATATTTACCTGTATAGCTGGAGACATAATAACCTCTAAATCAGAATCTTCTGCACTGGAGACAGGACTAAACATAGAAAATTTGGTCGTGAACACTATTAGAAGAGACGATGCTATATCGTTTGCACTAATGTCCGATTGAACTAACGTACTTTTGCACTAAAGTCAGCTGATCAGTAACACTTGTGGCCGCAGCGCCCGGCCCCTTGGCCTGTCCTAGCCGCGGCGCTTGGCCCCCTAGCCTGTCCTAGTCGCAGCGCTCGGCCCAGAAATTTTCTTAACCCAACCTAACCCTCAAATAAAACGTTAGTACGATCAATCATTAGTGCAAACGATACGACACCAAAGACATGCATGCAACAATTCAGAACAGTGTCCAAATTCTAATCGAATCAAATATAAAGTCAAGTTATGTATGAGCTAAAACTTGTAGCATTTCTATCTCGAATATGAGACAAAAAGCCAATAACTTGTAGGTCTTAGTTGAAAAAATCCGCAATTAGGGTTTTTTGAGAAAAGAAAACCAAAATTTGAATAGAAATGTTTAACATGTAGGGATGGGAAGTTTTGATTTTTTAGAAAAACGTCCGTTTTGTTTCGTTGACAATGATAAAAATCTGAAAAATCTAAAACGGTCGTTTTAAAAAAATATCGTTTTTGAATGGGATGAAACTAAGTTATGATTTAAGAAGAAAAAAACGACAAGATCGTTCCGTAAAACAATAGTTTATAAAACTAGAAAAACGATAGTTTTGAAAATGACGTTTTTGAATAAAGGCGACAGTTAAAAATTTAATCTTTTTTGTATTTAAAATATCCTGAAAAAAATTTAATTTTTTTTTTAAAGGATTCCTTCGACTCCAAAAAATTTAAAACCATGAAATTTTTTTTTTTTTTAGAAATATGTGAAGCTTTTTAAAAAATTTAATTTTTTCTTTTTTTTTTGAAAACGATCGTTCTGAAAACTTTAGTTTTATGGAAAGATTAATCTCAAAAGCAAACGTTACCCATCCCTAATAACAAGTATGAGAAAAACAAATTTATCCGGTTTTAGAACAAAATTTTTAATCATTCTTGTTCTTAGGAAAAGCTACTTCAATAATAGGAGTTATGATTGAATAGTAAAAAATTATCACGATTTCAATCTAACGTGGAATATACTCAAGTTTTACGTTAGTACAGTTTAAGTTTGGAAATACCATTTTTTGTTACTTACAAGAGTTTGTGCCCGAGAATATCAAGCTCCTTGAGACCAAACTTGGCTCCGCCTTCTGCCAGGGCGGACACTGCCCCACCCTCAACCAGCGACGTGATCTGGGGTGTGTGAACCTCGTCGGAACTCCATCCGTAGAACTAGAAACATCAGAATTAAATCACAAGAGGCCGAATTTAAAGAATTTGAGCTTCGTACGCGTTTCAAACATGGTTGGTTCTTCTAGTATTCAGTGTTTGAGGTTTGAGCCGGCGCTCAATTGGAACCGGTTTTTGGCGGTTCAGTGACGCCGTTTAAATTCTTTAAATTCGTTCTAAGGACATTTTAATACAAACTTTTTGTTTTCATTTTTAAAAGGTTGCGAGATAACGAAATAAAGAGGAGGCCCTAACAGTATTTATACTACAAAAAAATGAAGAAAAAAATATATACAAAAAAGGTTTATAAAAGAAAGAAAAGAAAAAACAAAAAATAAAGAAATTAAAAAAATATCCACAAAAAGAATGATCAAATTCACAGAAAAAATTTTAAAAAGCAGCCTTAAAAATCGTTAGGCCGGAATAAAGATGGGTTCCTTGGAGACATCACAACATAAACCGCACTTCACTTGATTTAAACCAATTCTAAAACGTTGACCCCTAACACAAATAAGAAGGTTGAGGAAGGAAAAATAAATAAATTGAATCATGACCGGATGTATGAAAGGATATGTAAGCGCAGGTGTGGACATCACCCTCCTCCCTTGAGGAGATAATTACTCGCACACTATTCTAGGCAAGGTTAGGTTAAGATAAATAGATTGTCACTAATATGGTTTAATAATTACCTCTCCCTGTTCTGAAGCAAAGGTTCTCTTTGTGTTCATCATAGTTTGGAGGACAGCCTTCATCTCAGCCTCGGTAGCCTCCAGCTCCGCGTCAAGATTATCCTTTATCAAGTCCTTAGACGGTTCGTCTATCATGGACGAATCACCGTTCATTTTGGATCGGCGAGAAGGCCGTGTGGGTTTAGATTTTGTAGGATTAACCGCCGAATTAACGGCGGGGATTGGTTTATCGTCGGAACGAGGTTCACTCGGCGTAGAGGTTATGTTTACTAAAGGTTTAACACGAGCAATTAATGGTTTAGTGTTCTCTTTCACAGGTTTAACAGCCTCGGTAGGTTCACTAACTTCACTCTCGGGTTTAATGGCCTCCGGTATGGATTTTGCCTCCTCGACTGTTAATGCTGTCGGAGGTTGTGAATCGGAGGTGATCTCTGATCGTTCTACACCAGCGCTCTTCAGATAAGCCTAGAATTCATTTTAAAAAAATTTTGATAGAAATAAAATAAAATATCTAACATGAATAAATTCAAGATGCTAACTAAATCATAAATGTTGTGACAATGTTAACTTTTTTTTAGGAAATAAAAAAAAAAAGTATTGATCACCTTTATTCTCTCCTTGCTACTCTTCACCCTACCCTCATCCTTTCCCAACTCTTGAGAGGCCACGGAGCTGTTGAGGTCATCCTTCGAGCTCCCAATGTCGTCCTTCGAGGTCATGAGGTCAACCTTGGAGGCTGACACATCTAGTTCCCCTGTGACTGAGTACTCTGCACTTGAGTATCGATTATTTGCTCGTCTAGCTCGCTTCCCTCCTAGTTACAAGGTTGGATCAAAATCAAATTTAAAAGCTTTTTACTAATATGTAAATATTTTCTTGAAAACCCAGGGTTGAATATTTTTACGAATTACTGTTGAAGATATGGAAACCAATATAGGAACAACGGAAGACGTGGACTAAAATTTAATTGTGACATTCATAAATACAAAAATTTCAAGTTCAATTTAAAGATAAAAAGTTTTTAAAGTAAATTTGAACATTTATACAGATATTTTAAGATTTATTAAGATGAAAATAAAGTAGGGTATTAAAAAAATAAGTCTAATTAACAACAAGAAGTAGGGAGAAATTGGAATTTTAAAGCTGTCAAATCCCGTTTAAATGAATAAATACCTGAGTCCCCTAACCCTGAGAAAAAGGTTGAAAATGGATCGTTCTTTAATTCTCTTTCTGCCTTCGTCTTCTTGTCTGATACAGGTAGGGGAACCCATTCAACCACAATATCATAGTTTCCACCACGTTTCTTGGCTGAACATAAACATACTTATTAATTACAGCACGTTTCTTAGCTGAATATTAACACATTTATTAATTACAGCACGTTTCTGAGTTGAATATTAACACATTAATAATTCAAGCACGTTTCTGAGTTGAATATTAACACATTAATAATTCAAGCACGTTTCTGAGTTTAATATGAACACATTTATTAATTACGGAACGTTTCTGAGCTGAATATTGACACATTTATTAATTACGGCACGTTTCTGAGCTGAATATTAACACATTAATAATTCAAGCACGTTTCTGAGTTGAATATTAGCACATTAATAATTCAAGCACGTTTCTTAGCTGAACATTAACATTTTTATAACTTCAAGTACGTTTCTTAGCTAAACATTTACATATGTACTGTTAATGTACAATGTACAGTAACATACAAATTCCACCAACTTTCTTAGCTGAACATTACCAATCGTAAATATTAAATCAAACATGTTTCTTAGCTGAACAATTCAGAGTTTCAGCACGTTTCAGTTAAAGGTTCTTTCACCGTTCTTAGCTTAACATTACAATGTCAATTGAAGGTGCTAACACGTTTTTACTTTTAATTGATCAATAGTCAATCAAAATTAGTTTATTAGTTTTTATCGATTATGGATGTGTGATCCCAGTTTGAGGTTAAGTGGTCCAATCAATCAATCAACCAATCAATCAACCAATCAATCACAAATCGGTCAACTACAATTAGATACAAGTCCATTTAACAAGCTTACTAGCGGTCAAACCGGACCAACCTAACATAACCCCATACAACTCAAAGCCCGTTCTTTCCATCGTGTATTTAAAGTACGTTAGGGGACGATATGTTGGCCGCTAGATGTCTCATGCTAAATTCTTATCTGATCGATAAATATTTCTCCGCACATTTGACAACTAATATAGGAGACGTCAAGTTGTCGACCTATGTAGTTTATGGAAGGAAAGGTGAGCACAACCTAACGCGACCCATTCTATGCTCAGTGCATTCTCACCTTTCTTCTGATTCTTTGTAAGATATTCCTCAAGTTCCTGAGTAGAGGGTAGTTCAAGCTCATCGGGTTTTAATCTGTACAACACACATATATTAAAATAACTAGCTGAAATGCCCTGCGTTGCCCGTGGATTCTCAAAAACTGTCCGAGTCTTGGCAGAAACAGAAAATTGTAGGGAAGTTCCCTCAGGAGATTATTTGACCTTTTGAGAATGGAATCTGACATTTTATGACGAAACTTAAGGCATAAAGGGAAGGGGCTTTTTTGTATGTTTTAGTGACCCCACATTCACATAGGTACCCTTTAATACTTACTTAGCTCCGACAATATAAGGATGTAACCAGGCTGGTATAGGGTGGAGTATCCTAGCCCCGCCTCCAAGCTGCTCCAGCTTATCCAGGAGTCCAGCAGTATCACAGGTTGCAGGTAGGTCAACCTACAAACAGAACATTATTCATCAAAGGTGTAATATTTTCTTAAAAGGGAGGGGGAAATAAAACCACCATCTAACAGATGAAAACACCATACTTATCATCAGTCATAATACATGTCCCCAAAAATTAAGATTAAAAAAAAAAACTTCGCTCGAATTACTTAAATTATCATATAAAACCTAGGAGTTCAGATCTTACAGTGAACCTGGCGAAAAAAATGCCAAAATGATATTCTTAAAGCAATATGATTTACCTCAACTGTACGTGAAGATGGGATGTGTTTGTTTATCTCTTCCTCAGATACAGAACTGAAAATATTAACTTTTACCAACTTACAAAAAATATCCATAAATGCAAAAAATCTGCGAAAATTCAACCGAAACTAAACATTATTATATAGTTTGATCTAATCATTAGCAGAACATATAAACTGATCAACAAGAAACCTAATGTTTTAGCAAATCAACCAGAAATATCACCAACACTATAAATCTTACATTTCATCAGCAAAACCACAAATAAATAACTATCAATTAATAAAACAGGGGGTTGAAGCTCCTTGCTATATAATAGTTTATCAACCATAAACCCTTAAAGATCTATTTTCATCCTCACCAACACACATAAATCAATATATCAACTAACAGTTGTTAAACCATCTAATCAAATTAGAACTGAAAACAATTATTTTATTTTTAAATTCTTTAATTATTTTAAACCTGACTGGCAGATTCTCCTCGTCTTCAAGAACCAGGTCGAGACTATCCTTCATCCTTTGAATGGTCTGAACATCATCTTCCTCAAATCCGAAAAATTGATCCGCTGTCGGTATGCGATTCTCCGCAAACGGCGATACTGCGGACATTTGCGCGGTTTTAGGTTTAGCCAAGGGTGCAGCTTTAGCTGAGGGTGTAGTTTTACTTGCTGGAGTAGAGCGAGGTTTAGGTTCAGGTGTTGATACTTTCTGTAAAGGTTGAACCCTAGCAACACGACGGGGGGTCCGTTCCTCTGTACTCTCCTCGGAGCACATTTCATCCTTGACAACAGGAGATATTGGTCTGCTAAGCTCAGGCTCAGCAGATACACCGGAGACAGGAGCAGGAGACTTGGGAGTTGTACTTTTAGACTTGACAGGTTTGGATCCGACTGCTGATGAGCTTTTAGGAGAGTTGGCGATTGGAGAACTAGATACTTTGGGAGAGAGAGGTTTAGCATCAGCTCTAGGTTTAGGACTAGAAGGTAGAGGACTAGTTGTAGGAATATCTGGAGACAGAGTTTCAACATGATCAACATTAACCTCAAAATCTGAATCTGAGTCGGAGGAGGTATCCTTGTACTTGTTAAATTCAGAGTTAGTGAGACGATTGATGTTAACCTTTACGCCGCGAGTTTTCATTCCAGACTTTTTGCTGGCGGATTCAGTCGTTTTGTTTTCCTTAGCGGATTTCTGCTCGTCTTCAGGGATATCGTTGAAAACTGAATCTGAATCTGACTGAATCTTAGGAGCCGATTTAGCAACCGGAGTGGGTTCTGACTTTTCTTCTTTTCTTAACTCTTTCTTGACAAGTTTGCTATCACCGGACTTGTCCGTTTTTAAATCTTTGGAAACTTTTCTTGCTGGCGTTTTATGAGTAGAAGTAGAGTTAGATTCCTTTCTTGCTTCCTTGGCCTTGTTTAAAGTTTCCTTTGGCGGAGAAACAATCATAACTTCATCATCGTCTGAACTTTCTAGTTTTTCAACCTTCTTCCTCTTCTCTGGCTTGACCCTCTCCTCCTCCTCCTCCTCGCTATCGCTGAGAACAATCTCCTTCCTCTTCTTGTTCTTTTTCTTGTTCATTAGTTCGTCCAATTCACTGATAATCTTCTTTCCACCAGCTTTCTCTTCCATGGTTTTAAGAAGAAGATTGCGGATTTCGTCAACCCCGAGACAGCTTAGTTGATCCTTGACCTTGCTTAAATCATCTTTTCTCTTCTCCTTCTTCAAATCTTTTTCTTCTTTCTTGACTTCCTTTTGTTTCTTCTTTTCTTTCTCTTCTCGTTGTCTCATCTCCGCTAATCTCTTTCGGGATTCTTCGTAATAACTGTCTCGTTCTTTCTGTTTGTTAATCTCTGATTTTTTATCTTCTTCTGACTCTCGTCTACTCTTACTCTTCTCCCTTTCTTTCAGCCTCTCCTTCTCTTTATTTCTCTCTTTCTCGCGCTCTTTATCTTTGGATCTGTCCTTGTTATAATCTTTGCTTTTATCTCGGCTTCGATCTTTCTCTCTTTTTTCAGTTGAGGACTTTCGAGATTTCGAATCATGCTTCGACGAATCCCGACTTTTTCTGTCATCTCTAGTATCCCTCGAGTCGGAGCTTCCCCGCCTATCTTGAACTTTTCCGGGTTTAACAAACTCATTCTTAGATTTAGAACGCTCCGGGTCCTGTCTCATTGCAGCTTCCTTTATGGAGTTGTGAAGCTTTTTAGCGTAATCATTAGGTTTAGATCTTGCCTTGGATCCGTTTAGAAGAGGAGAGTTGGTTCCGGACCCAGGGGTTGAACCGCTCATCATTGGAGGTCGATAGGGAAGGTGGGGAGTGGCAGGTTTCTTAGTGGTACTGAATATATCAAGATCCTGATATTTATCCGACTTGAGTTTATCCTTACTCTTCACCTTCTGCTCAACCTTGGCTAGTTTAGCCTGCTGCTGCTCTTTAATTTTATCACTCTTCTTTTCCAGCTTATCCTTCTTCTCCTTGGAGATCACTTTCCCCAGGTTTACAGGAGTAGAGAGGTTGGATCTATCTGGAGTTGACACTTCCTTAGGAGAGGGAGGTTTCCAGTACTCGGAGCGAGCAGCGGAGAAGGCAGATGGAGGACTGGGTGGGGAGGAGGAGTAAGGTTCAGGTGGAGTTGTTGGACCCTTCCTACTTCTGTCAGGACTAGGAGTACGGCTCTCAGGTTCTTCAGGATTAGGAGAAAATGCTGGCTCAGGAGTTCTGGGTCCCTTCTGAGGACCAGAGGGAGTTGGTGCGTTAAATAAGGTTTTCATTTGCTCTGATGTGTTAAATGAAGGTTCGGCAGACTCTGAGATGTTGGTTGATGGAAGAGGAAGGGATTTGAGTGTCTGGAGTTGGTTTACAGAGGATAGATTTTGTGCATGGGGCTCCTGGATAGTACTAGTAGAATCTGCAGGTGGAAGGGGAGGTGAAGAATCCTCAGTGGATTTCATTAGTTCAGATTCATCCTTCGGAGAAGGTGGGTTTGGAGATTTCATTTCTTGACCAGGAGATTTTGCGTCTTGATCGGGAGATTTTGCTTCTTGATCGGGAGATCTTTCTCCTTGTTCAGGGGATCCATCTCCCTGCCCAGGTGATTGATCCCCTTGACCGGGGGATTCTTCTCCTTGACTAGGGGAATTATCCGGTTTTGGGGATTTCTCTTGCTCTGGTGAGGTTGGGGAATCCGCGGTTGGAATCTCATCTTCACTCTCTATTTCTCCTAATTAAATAAGAGTTTTACGGTAAATACCCATTGACACTAACCCCCCCCCCCCCACCCCTTTATTTCGGCAATATGGTTTTAGTTAATTTTGTTTGGGGTTTATTATTTCATTTTTTTCCGTTTAAAAATAGCAGGAGTTAAACGAAAAACAAGCAAGAAGTAGTTGGGCTACTGAAACTAATTTTAACCACTGCTTTTGAACTTGAACCGAAGAGGTGGTTTAAATACAATATTTTTGAGAAAGAAGATACAAAGTAAAATAAAGATTTTTTCGAGACTTGAAGTGAAGGGGGTGTACTTTTGTACCTTCAGAATCTGAATCTTCTTCTGGAGATAGTTTGAAGTCTCCCTCTAGTTTAGCCATTAACTCGGCCTTTAATCTTTCAAGCTGATCTAGATCTGAGTCACTTCCAGTACCTGAAATATATATATATTAACTGAGAAAGTCTTTCTAGCTCAAAAGACTAACAATAAAACATTTTAAAGATGAATAGAAAAATACCAAAGAATTCTGAAACTCTTGCTAAACTTTTTTACAGATACATATTCCTGCTTGGTGGGGTTATTTTTGATGTTTTTAAAATATAAATTTCTATACTTGCCATTAATTATTCACAGGGTGGCCAAAACTTTTTTGAAAAAATCCGTACATTTTAGAACAAATCCGTACAATCTGTACATTTTTTGGGAAAAAATCCGTACAATCCGTACATTTTTATTTGACAAAATCAGTACATTTTTTTTTGAAAAATCCGTACAATCCGTACAATTTTTTATGGAAGAAATCTGTACAACCGTACATTTAAAAAAATGTAACCATTTTTGAAAAAAACCGCATCAAAATTCAATTGTTCATGTGTGAGGGTTTAAACTTCTTCAGCAGGAGAAGTCATTACATTGCTTTTTGTTCTTTCTGTGAAAAAGTACCTAATACATATTTTTACAAGTAAATTAGGATGATAATGAGAGGCGAAACAAGTAAATTAGGATGAGAATTAGAGGAGAAACAAGTAAATTAGGATGAGAATGAGAGTAGAAACAGGATAAATACACATTTAAAATCTAAAAATCTATAATTATGCCATTTAGTCCTTTACTTCTCTCCATTTGGATGGTTTTGTTTGATTATGCTTTCTAGAAAACTCATTATATAGCAAAAATCAATGTTCTCGAAAAACTATGAATGAATTTTAATTGTCAATTGAAACAACCAATATTGAACCTAATATTATTTAGAATGCCGAAAACAAGTTAACCAACTTCTTTTTGACAAGATCTTCTTGAAAATCTTCGTGCAAATTTGCTGAAATGACTCAAAAAGGGGGGGGGGAATTGTGTATTTCCTGGCTAAAATTCTGTACAATCCTTATAATTTGAAAAAAATCGTACAATCCTTATAATTTTAGGGCTAAAAAAATAAAATCCGTACAATCCGTACATTTTGGCCACCCTGTATTCATTGAAAATGTGAAAAAATACTAAAACCTAACCTTAATTGATTTTCGGATTACAAATGTACTCTTAATTTTTTTTTGAGTACATTTTTATCTAAAATAATATCGTGAGGTTTCTTGAAAAATTAACTTTATAATTGATAAATATTATACCTGCTTGAGAGGAGACGGGTCTAGCTCCTGCCTCATGTTCTGCTGAAGTCCCTGGCGGAGTAGTTCCAGGCGGCGGAGAGGTATTAGGAGAGGCAGAAACGTCGGGTAGTGGTATATTTTCTGGAGGACTGGACGGGTATCTGTGAGGAGGGGAAACGTCTGTTATTTCTGTATCTGATATGGAAGACATACTGGCGTCTCCTCCACTCTCCGACTCGCCGGGCGGAGGGGGGAAAGGGGCTGCAGCCCTCAATCCAGTCCCTGGTGGTGGCGGAGTAACAATGAGATTTGTCTCTGGGAGCGGGGGTGTGAAATGATCCACAACAGTTGATTTCCTGGGTGGCGGAGTGTAGCTCTCTAAAGGTGGCGGAGTATGAGGGGATGGCGGGCCTCCGGCAGGTAGTTCTACCTGCAGCTCAACCTCCATCTCCTCCCCAGGGGGCAGAGGCTGTGAACTATGCTGAGGTAAGGGTGGAGTAGTGGTGGGGGTCAGTGGGGATATAGTTCCAGAGCCAGAATGAGATTCTTCTCTCCCAGGGGTTATCGGGGATATTTGACCTAAACAAAGTTAATTTCAAAAATTGCTGTTGCCCTAAATTCAATAAAAAATAAAGACGCATTGGCATTTATAGAACCACAGACACCCCCCCCCCCCCCTAGCCGTATATAATATTTTAAATTAGGTAAAAAGAATCAAAGATTAATGAAAGGGGGGGGGGAGGGTGACTTTATAGTTGTTCATCTCTCTTAAATATAAATGTCTGCATTGATAGAAACCAGCGTTAAAGCTTACCAGTAGTAATGTTTTTATTCTAACTAAATGTTTACTGTTTATAGAGACATTTGTAGTATAAATCAAAACAAGGAAAAAGTTCAGGATAACTCCCCCCCCCGTCTTTCGACATTCGACAAAATCATACCTGCCAGTCCGGGACCAGAGTCATTAGAATCCTCCCCTTCAGCCTCTCCAGCAACACTATTATTATCTCCGTTCCCTTGATGGTGGCCGTTCTCCTTCACATCAGCCATATCCACATCCTGGAAAGAAACTATCATTGATGGACACTACACAATACAGTTTGAAGAGTTATACCCCCCCGGGAGGAAGAGCCGGGGGATAATAAGATTTGGCATATGACAGTTGTCTCTCCTTTCTCATATTTTCCTAAATTATTTTTGGCGAAGGGTGAGATATCATAAAAAATATCTATCCCTAAAGATCTTTTTTTATAAAGAATGAGAATTTTTTAATTAACAAACTTTGCTTTGGGAATTTAGGAATTTTATTTATTTCAAAATCCCAATGAGAAACTTCAAAATATAAGCCTTAAACTGTCGATTTAGAGCTTCTTATAAAAAAAATAGATATTTGTTCTTGTGCCATTGGAAAAAAATGCAAAAATTTTTCATTCTTTTTAATATTTTATACCCACAAGATTATTTATTTTCACCAAAGAAATACACAAATTTCCCCCCTTTTAGTGATAGCTTTCCATAAATAAAATTTATAACAACTAAAAATTAATCATTTCCCAAATTCCACAAAAAACATCCCTAACCTTTTTTAAGAGTATAACTTTCTAGCATAACAGAAAAAAGAAGATATTATCAGAGGAGGGATTATAAACCCAAAAACAAATAGGATCCCTTCCTGCTATTAATGGGCCAGTCACATTATGCGAGAAATACGCGACTAATTAGCATACAAATCTAAACCAAGTTTTTAATTCACAAAAAAATGGCGTATCAGAGGAAAGTCATGAGTTATTAATAAAAAAGTTACTGTTTATCATTATTATTATTGTTATAATATCTGTACCTCTGTCTCCACCACCTCTTCTTCTTCTTCTTCTAAAGAAGAACCACAATATTTCTCTATCATACTCTCAATCTAAATCATAAATGTTTGATATACAAAAATAGTCATCAAACCAAGAAATAATGAAATTATTTATCCTAAGCCCAAATCAGAAGAACAAAAATAACTAATACTACATTAAAATAATTTACAGACTAAGAAAAAGCTATAAAAAGTTTGAATTTCCTTCCCTTGCATAAAATTAAAGGTTTATTAACCCTTAAATTGTCACACAGATGTTATGTACATGGTACATAGCAGCATGAAATCCAAGTATTTAGACTATTATGATAACTTGATTGTAATTATGAGATACAGAGTTAAATATGCTGGCTATATGATATTTAAAGAAAATTGATTTTCCAGAGCCCAAAACTTAAAACAGGGTATCGTAATGAAAACCAGTTTTAAAACCCGGGTTTCGCGAATGGGGTTAGGCAGTTTTGAGGATATCAATATTTTTTGTTGTGAAATATCATTTTATTTATTTTCTTCATATTCTCCACTTTTTAAATCTTTTAAATCAAAATCTACAATAATGCTTAGACCCCATAAAAAAAAACTCGAGAGTTTAGTTCAACGATACTCTTTTAAATTTCGGGCTCTGTAGTACAGTTTCACACTTATTATTTCAAAGACCGAATATTGGAGACGCGGTTCAAACATGGTTGATTCCACTTGAATTTGTAGTCAATGTTTCGAGATTTGAGCCGGCACTCAATTGGAACCGGTTTCTGACGGCTCAGCAAAACGGTTTAAATTCGGCCTCAGATTATGGGAAAAAATGGAATCTTTATTGAACACAAATTGCTAAAATTGCTTAACTCAACAAACTTTAAGAGTGTGTTTTATTCAAAATGTGGGTGGGAGGGATGATTTAGACAGAATACCTCGTGTCCAAACGTTTGTTTAAGTTTAGGATCAACTATCTGGTCGACAATACGCTCGATAAGAACTCCTTTTCCGGTTACGTCCTAAAAAAGTGAAAAATGAAGAATTATTTCCGGTCAAGCATTCAATTTACAAAAAGTCTTAGTTTACTGGTGTTGCGGTCCTCAACATGCATAATCTGACGTAAAGTTACGTTTTTGAATTCACATTTTTTTCTGTGATAAAAAATCAAGTAAAAAATAAATGGGATACAAGTGACAGTACGAGTTTTCACAGGGGTTCTAAAAGTAAGATTTAAAGAGAAACTTGTTACTTCAAATCTATTATTGGTTTCACAAATTACATTTTTAATTTATGTTAAAAAACCCAATGTTATTGTTTACTAATATTACAAAAAGAGCATGATTAGGTTATGATAAATACCATTACGTCATCAAAATCTTAACTACACTACATCCTCTATTCCATTCAGATGTCGGATGATAAAAAAGTACCTGTATATCCTTCCTGAGCTGGTTCCTAAGTTGGTTCTTGTTCAACCCCGGGGACCACTTGTTCTTCCCAATGAAGGACTTCAAGGTCCCTTCAACTCGGGATTTCAGATTCTGGTACGCCGGCTGTCAAATAAAAACAAGTTATACTGCTGTAAGAAAATTGATATTTTTCATTTGTATTATTATTCTATAAATCTTTATCAGGTCTAATGTCAGACAAAAATATCAATGATGATCACAACTAAGTGCAATAGATTAAAAATTATTTAGTTCAGATTAAGAAGGGTTTCACTTTATAATATAATTTAAAGACGCATGACTTAATGAGTTTGATATTACAATTCTTATCGGCATAAGACTCTTCTCAAAAAGAAGAGTAGAATTTTTTTTCTTAGTTTCAATTGTGGTTTACTACACATGCGACTTGCGAATTACTGGGGATTTTCTTTCATAGCACAAAACTGACATTTTTCCTACCACCGTGACGCTTCGAAATTATCTTTTTGATATTATTATCATCATAGAAATCTACATTTGGTTCTAAGAGATATAGACAAAGATATTAAACAGCAAATAATCACTAGGCTACGCATAACATAAAATTATTTAGACATCAAAAGCGGTGGCTAAAAATCGGTCTATTTGAAATTGAAGTTAAACGCTTTGGTAATTTCCTAGAGAACGATTTTTGGACTCCCCCCCTCCTATCAATTTTGTACATGGATCTTAAATGTAAGACATGTGGCCGCAGCGCTCGGTCCAGAAGTGTCTTAGCCTAACCTAACCCTAAATAAATACTAATTTAATGTTGGAAAAAGTGGTCATGTACAAAATTGATATGAATTTCAAAACTTCCTAAAGGGTTTGATATTGTGGGAACGAAAAGATTTTTCAAGAAAATATAGATATCTGCCAATCAAAGTATTCTTTCATTAAAAACCTCTTATTTTCCCATCATCAAACTATTTACTGATAAAATCAGTCTCCCCCNGTCCAAAAATCGTATACTAGGAAAGACCCCAGACCCAAAAGTTTGATTATATTATCATGGTTGCGTCGATCAAGTTAAAAAACAAAAGATTAATTTTTAGGAAACACTAATTTGCAAATCCTCTGAAAAATTACAAATTTGAGAATTTACCAACCTTGGTGTCAACATCAGCCAAGCAATCCTTTCGAAATTGATCAAAAATTCCTTGAGCTTTGAGCTCATTTACCAACATGTTCTCCAAGTTAGGATCATTAATATCCAATTTATCGACCTCCTGGGGATTGGCCCCCTCCATCTTGTCAATCCAATTTAATCCTCGTCTCACAAAAATCACATACAAATAACTGTCTGCGTTTAGAAAACTCGCAATATCCTAAAAATCCGCAATCTTATAATTTAACTGCGTTTGGCGGCGTTTGTTGCCACTGCGTGGTGTTACTGTGTGAACATGTGGCGGCGCCAGGCGGAGGATTTCCAAACTATCGTCATGCTTTTTGTAATAATATTCTTTACATATTTTTCAAATTACATCTTCAAATTTTTTTAGAACATGCTAAAAAAGAAAAAAAGAAACTCTCAATGTCAAACATATTATCTTTAAATATCAATTTTTTTGTATTTTCCCTGAATTTTAATCATGATGAAATTTACAGCAAAGACGACATGAACGAGAACCGAGGGAGGAAACAGTCCCAAAATAAAAAATCGTCCAAAACTGTCTTATCTTTAAAATTTTTAAGTATTCTTTTTAATTTAGTCTTGATGCAAAAATAAAATCATCTACATCCGATTATTTATACAAAAAATATTCTAGCTTATGGTTTTAAAATGTGTGGCTCGCTCTCCTTCCCTCTCTAAAAAAAACCTGTTTTCAATCAGCTGATTTCTTATTATGATTCATTTCGTAATTTCAATTATTATTTCTTAATTCATCAATAGCAACCTTAATCTTATGGAAGCAACTGGGCGTTCGGACTGGCCGTGAAACATTTAAATTGCTTAAACATATATAATCCTCAAGCACTCTAACTGGGCAATGAAAATTTCTCAGAGAATGTTCGTGATGATATGATAGACCGGGTATTTAATATGACCTTTCTGCTCTGCAGCTAGTTTCCATTTTATTCTACACCATGTAACACTAGGTTTCTAAGATTAAGAGGATGGTGGGTCCGTCGTAGTAAACGATTTTAGGAGCGCTCCCCCCTCCCCCTCCTATCAATTTTGTATATGGTCTATGTAACACATGGATATAATAGATCATGTGGCCGCAGCGCCCGGCCCCCTAGCCTGTCCAGCCGTGGCGCTCGACCCCCTAGCCACCAACAAAAGAATCAAACTGGGGTAATATCTTTGAGAACGAATTTTGGACCGCCCCCCCCAAGCGTCCTCCCTCCCCCCTTTTATCAATGCGTCTCTTATTTAACAGTTGGTCAAGTGGCCTTAGCGCCCGGTCCCCTAACCTGTCCTAGCCGCAGCGCTTGGCCCAGAAATTGTCATAACCAGACCTAACCCTAAATAAATATTAGTTTTGTTGAAAATGGTGGAAAAGGTCTGTCCTGGCTACAGTCCTCGGCCCTCTAGTCATTCCTAGCCGCAGCACTCGGCCCAGAAATAGTCCTTACCTAACCCTAGCCTGAAATAATACTAAATAAATATTTATTTGTTGAAAATAGGTAAAATCTAGGTCATGTACAAAATTGATGGGTTGGGGTAGGGGGGGGGGGGGTCCAAAAATAGTTTTCTAGGACAGAGCCTCTATGTTATTTTTGATTAAATAATTTTCCGTGTTTTTTTTAGTTCAATATTTTTAGACTCGAAATGTCTCGTCTTTTAAATGTTGTAAAAAGAGTTGTGTTTACAAGCACAATTATTGGAGGTAAGTTCTGATAACAAAGTTCAAAATATTTTATATATGACCGGCGCATATCTGCTCTCCAAATACTTAGTAGACATTTGTCAAAAATGAATTTTGTAATCTAAACATACATATGAGACTAAGGGCCCTCATAAAATATTAAATGTTAAAATGGAGCCTCAAACAATAAAGTAATTGGTAATGAAGTTAGTCCAAACAACAACAAAGATGACTGCAGATGATATTTCCACATTTTGTAGAAAAAAATATTTAGGACTTTGTTGATCCTCTTCATGTTCTAACTATAACTAAACACATGACAAAGATTGTACATGATTCAAACTCAAATCCTAATATAGTAAAACCCTTAAAATAGGGGATTAGAAATACGAGGTTCGTGCAATCTTCGGTGCATGTGATGATGTTATTAAGCAAATAGATTTTAAAATAAATTTATTATGTAAAATGTGCACTGAACAATTACGTGTATGTATTTCATAATCAGTTACTTATAACCATATAAAGTATAAGTCTAAAAAATCGTCTTCCTATTGTATATTTTATGGGTCTTACTGTATGCAAATTTTCAACATTGATCAACGTTTGTTAGGTGGTGCATGTAGCCTTATACTTTACAATGTTGGAACTTCGTCATGGTCAGATTCACATACATGGTCGTCAGCTACCAGGAATTTATTTATCTTTGCTTTATTAGATTAGTCTTAATAGTTATTTAAAGGGACTGTAAGCGTAGTTTCAAGCATCCCTTCATGCAAAGATGATTTTGCTCGATTCAGAACGGTATCTTTGAAACCTTTATCTGATGATCTGATCAATAACGTGTTATATTTTGACATTTTTTGGTTTAAAAATTGTTTTTTTTCTTCTGAGTATTCCTAAATGTATCTTAGCTGTAGAAATGATCATTTTTGTTGAGAAAGCCCAATTTAAAATAATCAGATTAAAATATTTTACCATGGACATCTAATTCATACTTGATTAGACAAAGTTTTTATGGTACCGTTGTGAATCAGGCATTGCCATTTTAGCATAGAGGGTCATTTCAAATAGTTTCTTCGTGACCTTTGCACAATTCAAAACTCCCAGAAGGTTTTGATTTCCCTTAACTAAAATTTCACTTAACACTTTGTTAGTTCGTGTGAAGATTGTTTTCAAGTTTTTAGAAATAATTTTTCATAGCATTTTAAAAATTAAGTTTTAAAGGTTTATTTAAAGGCTGTAAAATGCTTATTTGCTGAATGTTTATAATTTTGTTACCACTAATTTTATTGTTTTACGTAACATCAACAGCTAATTTTTTTTAAAATCTAAAACATGATTATGTGAAATACTGTAAAAATAATGAAATATATGTTGAGATAAATGAATGTAATTTAGACACTATTTAACAAATAAGTTTATGGTAGTTCTTGGTTTTATCTCATTCAGGGATCTAGTTAAAAATTCAAGGTGAGCAAAAAAAATCAAAATAATTTGTTAGAAATTAACAACTACCTATTTTTAGTATCAGATCAACTTTTTTCTTAAATATTTAAACGCTTAAGGTTTATCCTTGAAGTATAAGTGAATAAGTTAACAAGTATATAAGTTAATTGAACATGTTGGTTTTGTTTTAATTACCGTGTCACATGCAATTCTAAACAATTTTTTTTATTTTTGATATTATCTTAATATTTTTGAAGGTAAACGATTTACGAAATAATAATGACAATAATTATTGCATAATATTATTATGTAATAGGAGAATACAGGTTATTTTTTCATGAAAAAAACTTTTAACTTTCTTTATGAATCTTATCCTTTTGTTGTAGATTTATTTTTACTTTTTCTTATTTTTCTAATTTTTTTCAATTTTTATGATTTAGATTGGAATGTAATCTGAAAGCCTAATTAACCTTAGAATCCCATTATAATTCTCAAATCTAAGTAATCAAAATGATTCAAGGAATGTCCGAGAAACCCAGGAGAACCTCCTCATGGACAACCTCGTGAAGAACACTGCTACCCTCTACGGGAAGGAGTTTGGGTTTGAGAAAATGAATTCTGTTGCGGAGTTCAGGAAGCAACATCCTCTCACTAGATATTCACATTACCAACCTTACGTAGAGAAAATTCAAAATGGAGATTTATTAGGAATAATGAATTCAGCCAAGAAAACTTTCTGATTTTAATTATTATATCTTTTTTATAATAAAAGGTATAAATAATCAAAAACAGTTTCGATGAACTACGAACTTGTTCAAAATGTCGAGAATATATCTTAAAAAATAGTTATGCTATCTTAGAAAAACCAAAACAACGTGGCAAAATGTTTTTGATAGTCCATATCAATATTTTACTTTATTGAATATATTCATATCAAGTTGCCTGGTTTTATTTTAAGTGAATAGTGTTGGCAATTATGGATGGACGGAGCAATGTACATGGCATTGTACAATATACAAAAACTTTATTATTATGGACAAGTTTGGTTCTATTCCACTTTATTTTTGGCTACCATTGTATAACCCTCCTACAAAAAAATGTTTTAACGATAATTTTTTCCACGGATGGATTGAAAATTAAGTATTAAAAAAGAAGCTAGCATGTTAAGTTGAATTTATTTTCTTGGTTTAGCTCTGACAGCAGATATCCCACTACAACTGGCTGTTACTTCAGGTACACGGAGAGTTGATAAGCATAAAATCTAGAAATCGAGAAGAAAATCGTCTAGAGCCGGTAGGGAAGGGGGGGAGGGCTTTGGAATTGAAGGTAAAGAAAAGCTTTAGCTCCTGCTAAGTGATAAATGTTGATATTTTTTCCTATCAAAATGTTTAAAGTTTACCGTCAATAAACCTCCATTGGGGTCATGTGAGTTGCCATAAAAAATTTATGTTCACTGGTTCAGTTGTTTAATGAAAGCAAATACAAACAAAGTATATATTTTAAAATAAAGATATCTTAAAAAAAATGTCTGTTTTCTGCAGGTACTAGTGGTAAAAGTTCTCTGTTGCCCACTACTAACTTTATATTCACCAGATTTTTTCTTTCTGGGATTGCACTACTTTTTCAACGGTAATTTTATTTGAATTTCTCTCATCACAATGTTAGTAGCTCTCCTGTCATTATTTAAGAACATTTTTGTAGAACTTTGCTATTTTTTCAAACTTTTTATTTTTTTAAAAGATGGAAAAAATGCACAGTAAAAAAATAAAACGGATTTAAATCAAACGATTTTGAATTTCATCTGAATCTTCCTATGTTCCCCAAATATCCCTAATTTCCCCCAATTTTTCTAACCCCTGAGATTACATGATTTTAGGGGAAAACCCCGAAATCAACCCATCAGTTCCCTGATTTTTCCAAAAGTATTCCAGGTTTTGTTTTGATCTCCAGGATTTTTCCTAAAAATTCTGAATATTTTAATTTTCTATCCCCTGATATTTCCTAAATTTTCCAGGATTTCTCTTGATCTTCCTGATATTAATAAAAATTATTTTGATATTTCCTAAAGATTCAGGATTTTTTCTTGGCAGGACATCTCTTATCCTTCTAAGAAATTTCCTTAATTCTAATGATTTTATCTATTTCTTCTTCTAGATTACAGGAAACGCATCCTGAGTGGGTCACTCTGCAGAAATCCATGAAATTATTCTATACTCCAAGATGGAAGTACACCGAGACTGGATTAAGGAATAAAACCAAGCGGAATTATTTTAGATATTTTATTCTTGTGCCGTGTAAATCTTAGTTGGAAAACTAGTAAATTTTTAAAACATATAATGTCTATGTCGGACGATTTTTTAAAAATTCTATGATAGTGTTTTTTTTAAATTCAGACAATCCTTCAAGAAAATTTAAGTTGGAAAGTTTTATTGTTTCTGGTGCAGGATCGGACCTAACAGTTCTAATCCGGATTCTGCGCAGAGAATATATCATCTTTACTCCACCCCTCCCCCAGCATACAGGTATAGGCTTGGAGGCTCACGGGGGAAAAAAAGGGTTTCCCCCTCTCCTGAAAATCTTTTTCCCTCAGATCTTAATCAGATTATGTAAAATCTTTTAACTATTTCCCCAAAGCTGAGCATTGTTTTGATATAATTTTTCAAAATATTGAATACTTTGGATTCTGGAAACGGTTAACATGTTTATTTTTTTTGCAAGATCTATATTGAATATTGATTACTTTCAATAATTCTTGAATAGGCAGTATTCTTTATATTAATTAATAATAATCTTTTATAAATCTTTATAATGATTCCGTTTTTTTGATTGGTTATAGAATGTGTTTTTTTTCTTCAGGATATTAACAGAACCTGAGGCACTGTATATTCATTTATTATTTGGATTATTGGATCAAAATCTGGGAAATATAGAGGCTAATTTTGCATCCACAGTATATACAGGAACAGAGTCTATAAACAATAAACATATATGATTAGAGCAAATAATCAATTAATCAATCAATTATCCATTAAATGATAAAGACCTCTTTTCATGTAAAAAAACCAAGATTTATTGCTTAAAGTCTCTGTTTTCTCCAGGTTTCCGAACCTTAGAGAGTAGATGGGAGGAGCTAGTCCAGGATATACAAACCGGAACAATTAATTCCAATCTTAATATTCCTTCAGATATCAGGGAGCAATTGGAAGCAGGGACAATCATGCACATTTTACATCTGTTCTTTATACTTGATGATAAAATTATATATCTTGTAATATTTTTTACCGTTTGGGTGCTTTATATTTTGCCTGAAAAGTTCATTTTTTTTTATTCTGAGAAATAAAGTTTAGGTGAATTTTCTTAACAATTTGATGTTATTTCCAGAAAATCAGTAAAATTTGATTTAAAAATGTAAAATGAGTCACCATAAGAACCCTTCTGTAAGAAATGCATTGAATTAGATCAATTATGCAAAAAAATTGTGGATTGTTGATGGCACTTCTTTAAATAAAGGACCAATAAAAGTTAGGTCAGCAATCCCAATTAAAAAAAAAGCTTAGTTATGTTCAGAATGTTGAACTGATTGATTGTCTAGTTATGAAACCGAACCCTGAGAGAGCGGAGGAGTTGAGAAAGGAGTTTACTGCAGGAAATGATAAACAGATATGACTAGATTGAATATTAAGTATCAAGAGTTTATTGCTGGATATTTTTGCTTGTAGTTGATGGCAAATTAGACATTAACAGGCAAGTTTTTGCAACCTTTTCTGATACAAAAAGTCAACTGTAGTCCTCTAGGGTCTAGATCTCATTTATTTTTACCCAAAATGATGAGGATTCAGGATGTAAAATTGTTTTTTATTAAAATAAATACCCCTCGTTCTTTATAGACCAATAGTCTTAATCATTCGTTTTACTCAGTTTTGTATTAAAAAGTAATGTTAGAGGATGGCCTGTTGGGGGAGAATTAAACAATGACCAACAAAAAGTAGTTTCTCGAGACTTGATTCTTTTTAATGATATTTTCCAATGATAGTACAAGGAAAACACATCGGCAAGTTTTTTAGCATTGATTTTAATTCTAATATTATAAAGATTAGGTGAAACAGGAGGGGAAGAATATTGCAATGGGGAAGAATATATCAATGGGGAAGAATATTGCCCGGGGAAGAATATTGCAATGGGGAAGAATATTGCAATGGGGAAGAATATTGCAATGGGGAAGAATATTGCAATGTGGAAGAATATTGCAATGGGGAAGAATATTGCAATGGGGAAGAATGGATGCATAAAAACAGGAATATATAACGTCTATCTCGCTTGTCCAATCTGTTTAATCTGTGACTAAAGGGTTTGAGAATATAGCGAAGAGAATCTGGCCAAATCTTAATCTTATCATGTGCACAACCACAGGTAAGATCCATCAAGGGATTTCATTTGACCATCCTACCTCCATGCAAAGATGACAAATATAATGCCCTATTTATGATGGTACCCTTAAAGCATATATTGAAGAAGAAAACAATGACTTTCTGACTTGAAGAGTATTCAATCCTGATGTTCCTTATAAGCAAGAAATCTGCAAGTAATTTTTCAGGGAAACCACAAGTGAAAATAAACAGGGGTCAATATATATCTAATTAATACTTGATCAGACAAAGCTTTCAAGGGTATCGTTGTAAATCGGGCATTGCAAATTTTTCATGAAGTATGTATATCATATATAAGAACATATACTAAAATATATCAAATAATTATATTTAGATATATTTTTTTCCTATTTAGGAACTATGAAAATGTATACAAGTTCGTTGAAAAGTAAATATTGCCGGGACACCCAGACTTATTCTCCTATCTACGGAGCATCAGAGGTATTTAGGGATTCATATTCTCCTATCTACAGGGCATCAGAGGTATTCAGGGATTTATATTCTCCTATCTACGGAGCATCAGAGGTATTTATGGATTCATATTCTCCTATCTACAGGGCATCAGAGGTATTCATGGATTCATATTCTCCTATCTACGGAGCATCTTAGGTATTCAGGGATTCATATTCTCCTATCTATGGAGCATCAGAGGTATTCAGGGATTTATATTCTCCTATCTACGGAGCGTCAGAGGTATTCAGGGATTTATATTCTCCTATCTACAGGGCATCAGAGGTATTCAGGGATTTATATTCTCCTATCTACGGAGCATCAGAGGTATTCAGGGATTTATATTCTCCTATCTACGGAGCATCAGAGGTATTTAGGGATTTATATTTTTAAGAGCTACCTTTTCTCCTCAGGGGAAAATTAATAATTGAACATCAAATGTTAAGTTTTACCTTTTTTGATATTTTCTTTTAAAATTAATTATTTACATAATTCAGTAAATAAAATGCCTTCTTTTTTAATATTTGCTTTTAAAAACTAATTTATTTACATAATTCAGTAAATAAAATACCCTCCTTTTTTGGATATTTTCTTTAAAAATTGATTTATTTACACAATTCTGTAAATAAAAGTATGGAATATTTTTCAATAAAATATTTACACGTACATGAATCCTACATGGATGAGACTGCAAAGAAGACCTAAATTAATCTCTTAAATATGACGATTCCAAGGTTAAAGTATAATTGCCTTGAATTTAGTTTTTTAATTGCTTATTTAATGATTTGACAAAAAAGAAACAACATTTGTTTGGAATGATGAATATAATTAAACAGACAGTTTACATTTTTCACAGGCTAGGCGTCTCTGAAGCCTCATCTTTTGTGGGTAACCCAGCCCTGAACATTTTTTTATTGAGATCCTACCCGGAGGGATTTTAATGGATCTGGCTTTTTGATCTGAGTTTAAGCACATTTTAAATAGATATTTAAAGGAAGGAACAGCGTATATTACAAGTAACTCTATAGGGTTACAGTATTGATAAATGAACTTGAAAAAGATCAATTCTGTTAATTTCCTTCTTTCTAAATAATAATAAATATTTTTGCATAAATAAACAATGAACTTTAATAAGGTTGGTTTCAGAGTTTATATTTTGTAAGAATTTGAAAGTTTATTGTTCAGGGATTGCTAGGAGTGAACTTGTATCCAGATAGTACCCAGTCCCTTTACTGTTTAATCCCTTCAGCACAGTTCTTCGAGTTTATCCGGCAGGAGGATTCCGATACAGATAATCCGGATACATTACTCCTTCATCAGCTAGAGAAGGTGAGAGGATTCAGATACAGATAATCCGGATACATTACTCCTTCATCAGCTAGAGAAGGTGAGAGGATTCAGATACAGATAATCCGGATACATTACTCCTTCATCAGCTAGAGAAGGTGAGAGGATTCAGATACAGATAATCCAGATGCATTACTCCTTCATCAGCTAGAGAAGGGGAGAGGATTCAGATACAGATGATCCAGATACATTACTTCTTCATCTGCTAGAGAAGGGGAGAGTTGTAAGTTCAGGAGGCCATAACTCATGAACCAGAGATCACAGGATTTTAGATTTAACGTTTTCTTGCAATATGCTGGAATCTCAATCTAGAGTTAGTCAGCCTATTTGCATCGTTTTTTTTTATTTGTAGACAATATCATTATTGAAATTACAATGAATAATCTATGCAGGGTCAAGCGTATGAGGTGGTTGTAACTAATGGAAGTGGTCTCTATAGATATAGAATGGGAGATGTAGTTCAGGAATAGATATATTTGTATAAACCATCATGACTTATATGTTTTAGTTGCTTAATATCCTTCTTTTACAGAATCAGATCCGTATTCTTTTGTCATAAAAAGTTATGCCCTTAATGTTTTAAATTTGTTATTTGATACTAGCTTGAGAACCAATCCTTGCCCACTTGCCTAGTGTACTCTACTCATTGTTACTCCCACAGTTTTCCCGTGCTTGGTCGTATTTTACGATTTTAGCTATTTAGACCAAATCAATTTAGAGTCTGAAACCAAACTAAGAACATTCCCGTGGTTCCCCAATCAAAATTTGAGGCAAATCGGTCAAAGGGGTTCATGTATTATGATCGGACATCCAAACAGAGATCACTACTTTAATACAAAATATAAATCGATAAAACGCTTATGCCTCAACTATATTTGCTGTTATTTTGATCTCTTTCCAATAACTGGATTTGATTGTGAATATCCAAAACAAGGGATTAAGATCCATACATATCATTCTGTTCTTTTTTTACCCAACCCATCCCTTGATCCTTGGTGAAAAAAAAAAACAATTTCTTTCATTCAAGATGTTAGATCGTGTGAATGAAAAATATATTTTACAGGTCGAAAGTTTTTTTAATGAACTTCCTATGGTTCGTTTTCTTCATAGACAGGTAAATTATTATGTACCCCATATATAGTTTCCAACGGTAAATACTACATTTTACCAGCATTCCTAATTTACATATTCACTTCACAACAAAAAAACTTATTTTAGTTAAATGCTACAGCATTTTAAAAATCAAACGCGGCTAAAAATCATATTTAGAAAACATTAAGATAAAGGTACATTTATGATATAACATAACCTTTAATCTGCTTATTACCCCAGGGCCAGATGTTAAATGTTCACGGAGAAAAAATTTCAGAAGAGGTTTTCTTTACAACCCTGAAAAAATGTGAGAAAACCTGGAATATTAGGTGAGGTTTTTTTCTCACAGTTTTCAAGATTTATTTCATGTTAAGGGTTATTAGTTACGTCGTTTTAATTTAAAGGGACTGTAAGTGTAATTTGAAATGACCCTCTTTGGAAAGATTGCAATGCCCGATTCCCCTTTATCTAAAAAAATATGTGGAAGATGCTGTTGTTTTTCTGGCTTTAAAAGTGTTTTTTTTTCTGTTAGTTTCTATATTGCTTCTTGTGAGCAATAATTGCACAAGTCACTTTAGCAGAGAAACCGCAAATAAAAGTAAAAAGTCAAAAGAATTAAAAACAGCAATATCTAATTCATACTTGGGTTTAAGGGGATTTTCAGGGTACCGTTATAAATCGGGCATTGTCACCTTTGCATGGAGAGTCAGTTGAAATTACCCTTATAGCCTCTTTAAGGGATATTTCATTTCAAGTTTTCCATGCCAGAAGCCCTCAAATACTTAAAAGAAATTTCCCCTTTCATTGACTATTCAATAAGGATTTAATCTAAGCCATTGTTTGCTCTTCTGTTTTTGAAGAATTCGGGATTTGTTTATTGAAAGTTCGCGGTGATATTGTTAAAAGGAAAAATTCAGTTTACATAATCGAGATTTAAGTTAAGCTGGGTTTAAATGTGAATCTGTATTGGTACACTATTAATGAAAGCTCTTCAAACTATGTTCTTTACAAAGGTCTTGAAACTTTGTTTAGTTCTAACAAGGAAAATTGAATGATACAGTAAGACTCATAGGTTCAGTCCAAGAGAATGAATTTTGGACCCCCCCCCCCATCAATTTGTGACATGACCACTTATTTTTTAGCAAAATTATTATTATTTTTTTATTATTTTTGGGTTAGGTTAGGTTAAGACAATTTGTGGGCCGAGCGCTGCGGCTAGGACAGGCTAGGGGTCCGAGTGCCGCGGTAAGGACAGGCTAGGGGGCCGGGCGCTGTGGCCACATGACCAATTATATCCATCTATTACATATGAGATCCATGTACAAAATTGATAGAAGGGGGGGGGGGGGGGGTCCAAAATTGTTCTCTAGGAAATTACCGACTCATATGACTGTGGAATAGAAAAACGACTGTTATATGATTTTAAATATGTGGTTCAATGAACATCAAACGAAGTAATCATGCGGTGTAAACAGATTTTCGACTTCTGGTAACACTTATTTGCTTTATACTAACTTAAAATACACATCATATTGCTTAAATGTCGTCTTTTTATTCCACATATTTATTGGTCTAACTGTAAATTATTTAGACTGCGTGACTATACTACTGCCGAGAGTGTTCTATCTGAATCTAGCGCACTGCCCCACTACCTTCTGTTTATTGAACCTGAATCTGAGTGTTGTGACCTGAACCTGGATTTACCAGACACAACCTTGCGGTCAGATCATCCTGTCTACGAATCCTTCAGAGCTAAAGGAAGCATTGATAAGATTCAAGTAATCCAGGTACTAACTTGGTATATCAATTAATCAATATATTTTTTAAACATTGTTTAGATGCAACATTTAATGAATTAGGGAAGTTTATTGAAGCCAAAATTGACAAAGTAGTTTAAATCTCCCAAATTTTGTCTGGTATTTTTCGTTAGTCTTGAAGGACTGTACACGTATTTTCAAGTGAACCTTGAAGCAAAGATGTCCGATTTACAACGTTACCCTTAAAAGCTTTGTCATCTTTGCAAAGAGGGTCACTTGAAATACGCTTACTCCTTACAGGCCTTTCAAGTGCCAGTCTTTGGAAGGGGAAAGGTGTGGGTGGGGGGTAAGGGGGGGATCCCAAAAATCTACTTCTAAATATCCATGTTTTCAAATCTGAATTTCTAAGGTAAAACGTGGCAGCTTTCAAGCTCTCCAAGAGATGATGTTAGCAACATCAATGGCTTCTTCAAATCAATTCAAGGTTAGATTTTTTGTCAAAGGTCGGAACTTTTAAAAAATCTTTTTTTAGCCAATTTAACCTTACTTCCCGGAATACCCTAAAAAAAAATCAGCCAATTTGGTCCAGCCGTTCGGCCAGCTGTAATAACATGCAAAATTTAAAATATATTTTAATTCCAGAATGTAAATGCAGTAACTTAATGATTTAATTTTTTTATGAATTAACAATTCATAAAAATGTGGAAAAAAGAAGATTTATCTTGATTTGTATTTTGCAGGTTCCAAGAGTATTAAGAAAAGAGGAACATGTTAAATATCTTCTGGAGAATAGTATCTAGTGGAAGAAACTAGTTTGGTTTAAATCTTTTTTGTAATCCCTCTGTAAGCCCAAATCTAAGATCAAAGTGAGATTTTTAAAAAAGGGACATGCCTGATTCACAATGGTACTCTTTTAAGCTTTAAAGCTTTATCTGTTACAAAATATGGAAGATATCGGTTGTAAGTGCTGGTGGTAAGAATGTAAAAAATGCATGGGTTTCTGAATAGTCTCGTTTCTATACAAACCTCTTAAGAACTTTTTCTCTCTCGCTTAAATTTGATGTTTGTTTAAAGTGTTGAACACACTGATTTCATCAATAAATTTGAGGTTGGTTTAAAGTTTTGAACACACTGCTTTGCTCAATAAACTTGAGGTTGTTTTAAAGTTTTGAATACACTGCTTTGCTCAATTAATTTGAGGTTGGTTTAAAGTTTTGAATACACTGCTTTGCTCAATTAATTTGAGGTTGGTTTATAGTTTTGAATACACTGCTTTAGCTTGAGAGTTATTAAAAGATGGAACAGTTTGCCAATGGTTATTAAAAATGCCACCTCATTGATTAGTTTTAGGATTATGTATATTTCTTCAATGTGATGGGTGTCAGGGGCGCCGAGATCCCTGGTGAAGGTGTCATGGGTGCCGAGATCCCTGGTGAAGGTGTCAGGGGCGCCAAGATCCCTGGTTCAGCTTAATGGAAACAGAAAAGATATATTGACTCGCTGAAAATGTCACAAAAGTGATCTCCCAGCGAAAAATTTTCCAGTAATCCAGTAATCCAGTAATCTAGTAATCCAGTAATCCAGTAATCCAGTAATCCAGTCAATGTTTCAAGGGACTGTTGAAGTAATTTCATAGTAGAATAAAGGCTAATATGATAATCTTATGAGGAAAAAAATGTAATAATGGAAATCCTTAAACGAGATGAAATAATCTTGATGTATTCTTTAACAAAGGCCGCAGGCCTGAGTTTAAGAATGCATCAAGATTATTTCATCGAGTTTAAGAATACCATTATTACATTTTTATCCTCATAAGATTATTATTATATCATATTTGTGAGGTTCCATGGGCACATACCCAAGAAATTATATTAAAAAATAATTCTGGTGAAAACCGACTATTTCAAGTTGGAAGAGTTCACATTATGAAAGGTCGCAAATAAGTTTTATGCTCTTGTTCTGACTAACACTGTTTTTTTTTTATTTTTCTAATGTTAAAATGCTAAAAAAAAACATTTTAGAAGTAAAAATTGGTTCTTAATTTGTAAGTAATGCATGTGGTGTGATTATTTCCTTAGTTTAGTTTGTTTGTTTACCAATGATTTTGCTCGTTTTTTAAGTTGATACTACATTTAGATACAGCATGTTAAATGTTCCCTGAGTTTTTTAGATGGAGAGAAGGTATAGTAGTGGGTTGTCTTAATCTACTGAACAATATCGTGTCTTCATTTATAGAAGAAATCATTTTCTGGATATTAGATCCTAAATCTTCCAAAAAGAGGAGATATGCATGTTGTCAGTACAAAATAATTAAGTTAATATCAATATTGATCTATACTGAAAAGATCAATATAAGGAGCGTGTAAGAATGAATATTCTTTAACTAGTATAAGAATTTCCATTCTTTAATGCTTGGAGCGTGTAAGAATATACATTCTTTCACGCTCTGACCGTGTAATAATTTCCATTCTTACACGGTCTGAGCGTTAAAGAATGGAAATTATACACCTACAGTGTAAGAATAAGCATTCTTAAACGCAAGGAAGCGAACAATATTAAAATTGTTCCTTCTGAACCGTGTAATAATGGGAATTCTTACACGATAGGTTTACTACTATGGAACCGAACAGATATGATATAATATGTTTTATTCACATATTACATGATCATCGACAACAAAAATATTCGGAATTTTCTAGTAGTAAAAATTGAGTGCCGGTTGAGAAGGCCATCAAATATTATCAAAGTTGCTACTACGATAAACTTTTATCTTATGCGCTAATTTTTAACGTTAAAAAGATGTTTATACATTGTTACGCTAATAAGTCCTTTACAAGATTAACAATTTTTTATTCCTTCTTCAAAATCTTAATCTTAAACGCCTAAACCTATAAACTTAGTAACTAGCAAAAATATTTATTGGTATGTTTTTCTGTGTTTTTCCTGCAATACTGCTTTAGCATGCCAAAAAATTGTAAAATGTTGTCAATAATAACTATAGTTGTATATTTCTTAATTGTTTTCACTGTCTTTTTTTCAGAATAAAATGGCTGCCTACGGTACCACTGTAAGTAGAATCGTTACAAACAAAGAAAAATTAAAAAAGTTGATTGATTGATTGATTGATTGATTAGTTGATTGATTGATTGATTGATTGACTGACTGATCCGTTACAGGATGATGGGTATGGAGGTATGTCGGATACGTTTTCCGAGAAATCTGTACGACTCGGGTTCATCAGGAAGGTGTATTCCATCTTATGCGCCCAGGTATCGACTATTTTTATAAACAATAATCGTCATCATTTTAGACCGAATTAATTAATCAATTAATCTTATTCCAAAATGCAAGTTTTTCTAAAATCTCGTCAATTAATATAATTATCATCATTACCAATCAATCTACGTACAACGACGTTCACTCTACTTTTTAAAATCTGTTATGTCTGACTGTCAATACTTTAGTTGGTTGTTAATAATATGTGTATTGGGTGAAGTTGGTATTTTCCAGCCCTCTATATTCTGTTAACTCTCTATATTCTGCTAACTCTCTATATTCTGTTAACTCTCTATATTCTGTTAACTCTCTATATTCTGTTAACTCTCTATATTCTGTTAACTCTCTATATTCTGTTAACTCTCTATATTCTGTCAACTCTCTATATTCTGTTAACTTTCTGTATTCTGTTAACTATGAATTTCAATATTTTAGTTCGGTGTAATATCCGTATAATAAGAAAGCTGGTATTTTTTCTATACGATCTGTTATATATGGATGCAACTATTTAAGTTGGTAGTTTCATTGGTAATAGTTGGTATTTTCTCTCTACAATCTGTTATGTATGGATGCAACTATTTCAAAATAATAATTGGTATTTTCACTCTAAAATCTGTTATGTATGAATATAACTATTTCAGTTGGTTGTTACATTGGTTTGTTCACTTTACTTTTTGTTATGTATGAATATAACTATTTTAGTTGGTTGTTACTATTGCTATAGTTGTCATTTTCTCTCTACAATCTGTTATCTATATGAATATAACTATTTTAGTTGGTTGTTACTATGGCTATAGTTGTTATTTTCTCTCTACAATCTGTTATCTATATGAATATAACTATTTTAGTTGGTTGTTACTATGGGTATAGTTGGTATATTTACTCTACAATCTGTGAAAGTTTATGCAGCACAGCATCAGGTAAAACAATAAAAAATATCACAAATATGAACAAGACAAGATTAGAGCAGGCTGTTCAACTTTAGTCTGTTCTATGTATTATTATTATATTTACAGGAAATGATCTGTATTTTTCTATTTACAGGAAATGTTCTGTATTATTCTTTTTATAGGACATGTTCTTGATTATTTATTTACAGGACATTTTCTGTATTTTTTTTATTCACAGGAAATTTTCTGTATTAATCTATTTACATAAAATGTTCTGTATTAATATATTTACATAAAATGTTCTGTATTAATCTATNTGAACGGTACCCTTTAAATCTTTGTTTGAACGGTACCCTTTAAATCTTTGTTTGAACGGTACCCTTTAAATCTTTGTTTGAACGGTACCCTTTAAATCTTTGTTTGAATCTTTAAATCTTACTTTAAATCTTGAATGGTACCCTTTAAACCTTTGTTTGAACGATACCCTTTAAATCTTTGGTTAAACGGTACCCTTTAAATCTTTGTTTGAGAAAAAATTCAAGATATATCCTTTATTTTCTATTTAGAAAACAGAAACGACAAAAAATGTTTACAAATTATTTATCTCTTTTTGTTCCTATTATTCATCATTGTTCATAATATAGAGGTTCACTTTAAATTAATGCAAAAGATTGTTGTTGTTTTTGCAACTATTGTATAATTTAGACGCAGGACCCCGCATAACTTTATCTTCCTTGGACTGTTTACTGTTGCTGAAGGATTCCTTATTGGCACTGTTGTCGCAACCTACCAAACTGACGAGGTAAAAACTTAAAACAATTCAGTTTTTTTGCCCTTTTATATACTTTCTTTCTGTTTAGATGTTTTTCTTAATTTTTTTACATTTACCGATTTAAAAATGAGTTTTTCTTCTGAATTGTTGAATTTGATAGCTGTGGTATTTGTGCTGTTATCTGTTGAACGTGTAGGTTTTTACGTAAAAATTCGTTAATTAGATCGACCCCCACCACCACTTTATGCACATACATCTAAACAGTTTGTTTTTAATCTTTGTGACAGAAACAATCTCAAGGAATAATAGTCTTAAACAAAATTTTTTAAGTGAATGTTTGCTTTTCTTTTTTCTATCTCATAATCTGAGTTCGTTTCCCTTATGTCCATTTGACAGCCTAAAAATAATTTTTTTGTTAGTTTATTTTCTTGTGGTTTTAACAAATTTTTTAAATATTTTTTTTTATCGATTTTGATGGTTATTATATCTTTAAAACTGACGAGGGTCATCCCAGACCGAAATATATTTTCAATAAATGTGGAACTAACATCTACTTCTTTTACTCTACAGAGATTTGGTCCATCACCATCACCAAATTTTAAATGTGTAGGTATTGATGGCTGTTGGTATGTGTGCTGTTGTTACTCTCTCTCTCACAATCTTTGCTTTCCAAACCAAAATAGATTTCACTGCTTGGGGAGGTAAGTCGGAAATTAGATTAGTTTGAAAATTAAAATATTTATATGATTTAGATGATAAATAATCAATCAATCAGCAGTGAGTCACATAAAACTGTGGATTAGAAAGACGATTGTTAGATTCAAGTTATGATTTTAAATAGTCCAATGAACATGTAACAGGAACATAACCAATATCCATTTAATTTCATTTTTGAGTTGATTTTCAAGTTACTAAAATTTGCTATATAACAACTTCAAATGCAGACAAGATTGCTTGATTGTCGTCTTCATATTACACAGCTTTAAGGGTTCCATTGTTTAAATCTACAGTTTTGTTTTTAGGGAATTTTGATCGATTTATGATAATTCAGGAGCTCTCTTGGCCATCCTAGTGATCTTTGTCCTCTTTGGCTTCATTTGCATCTTCATTCCTAAGGAACATTTTTTGGTCAAAACACTATTATTCTAATTTGAAAGGAAGGGACTGGAAGCATACATTTGATGACTCCATGAAAAGATTCCTATTGGTTTGTATCCTTAATTAAATATCGATGATAGTTTTCTATCTGAAAACTTTTAAACTGCGACCGTAGTAAATCTAGAAAATATGGCGGATATTTGACCAAGCTTGTCTTGAAAGAGTCGTGTTCTGGTTCTTGTGTATGCAAGTCTCGGTGCTGTCGTTTTTTCGCTCTACATCGTCTTCGATACTCAAATCATGATTGGCGGCAAACACAAGGTTAGAGCCACCATATTTAATTGTTGATTTAAAGTTTTGATAGATTTTTACGAAAATTTTACATTAAATTTAAACTTTTATTTTTTTTCTAAATCTTAATTTAGTACTCGCTGTCTCCTGAGGAATATGTTTTTGGAGCTCTCAACCTATATCTTGGTAAATATTTTTACTTTTTAAACTGTAATGTATTTAAGATGTAACTTCAAGTGGCCCTTCACGTATAGAGTATTGGGCATGTCCGATTCACAACGATACCCTTAAAAGCTTTGCTTGATTAAGAATGGATCAGATAACTTTTAACTTTATTTGATTATTTTTCATTTTGGTTTTTCGATAAAAGTGACTCAGGTATTCTGCTAGGGAAACAACATAGAGGAAGTTGTCATAATTAAACAATTAAATCTAGATAAACGACCACAATGCACATTATTTATCAGATAAAGGTTCAAAGGATGCAGTTGTGAATCGGACATGTCACTCTACATTTAGCACGGAGGGTTTCTTGGAAGTTACATCTACAGTTTTTAAAGAAAACTACTAAATAGTAGAATTTATATTAAAAATATGAATCAAAAGCTTGCATTGTTTTAAAATATTTACAATCTAGAAATATATTTTCTATTTTTTAAATCTTAAAATGTTAATAGAAATATTTTAGACATTATCAACTTGTTCCTGTACTTACTACAGATCATAGGAGCAGCCAGGAACTAAGGAGCTGCAAGGAACAGAGAAGCAGCATGAAGCTATTAAACAGAGACAACTAGAGAGAGAGAAGAATCAAAAGTTGATAAAACTTAAAAGAGAAAGCGTAATTTCTGGTTAATTAAGTAAAAACCCATTCCTCTTAGCAACACAAAATAAAAATGCTTATTCAATGATAAATTGACATTTTTCGAGTAAAATTGTTTTAAAATAGTGATATAAGCCTTTCTAAATAGCTTTCAACTCCCCTACCCTCACTATCCTCTGTGTTTATACTTTAACCAGAAATAACATAATTAATCCTTCAATTGAAAATATAGTTTTGCATGTTTTTCATCTCGTTATTGAAAGTTTTATTTTGTGCTGCGGACATGTGTTCGTTTTGTTTGTTTAACGTCTAATATCTGTATCATGTGTCTTTTATTGATTAGGGATATCCTTGATTTTTTTTTAATTACTATTATGTATTAGTGTATTTAGCTGCACATTCCGGACATATGTATTTTGTATTATTTGGGCAGTTTTCAATACGTATATATTTATTATATATATACATACACAACTGTGTTCAATATATTTATTTTTATATATCATAATCCTTATTACTTTTGCCAAATGTTAACCTTTGATTTTTTTTTTTGGGGGGGGGGACAATTTAGTTAAACTTTTTCTGTGATTTTATAGTGATTTACTGGAATTATCAAAACTAAGAAAATATGTAATAATTTGATGGACTTGTTTTTCTCACCTTTTCACCGATAATTCAACTCATGACAACATTTTTCTATTTTCTGAAAAACTATCCCGCTCCTCCCTTTCCAGAAAAAAAGTTTGCGTAATATCTACAATTTTCAAAACTAAATTTAAACATTTTTGTTCGGGGTGGGGGATGATGATAAATTCATATGAAAAATGAGTTATTGAAAAAGAGAGAAAAAAAAACCATCCCTGAGAAATCAGTTGTAATCGATTGATGTTGATTAAATTATAAAATGTTTTATTTTTCCACATGTTAAACTTTTTTTTTCACTTTAATGGGACTGAAGATGTAATTTCAAATGAGTGTTTACTATTATAGTGGGATCCCCAATTCACAACGGTTCCCTTTAAACTTTGATCTGATCAATAATGTGGATGAATGATCCAAGATCAGATAAAGATCTAAAGGGTACCATTGCGGATCCAACACCCATCTAGTGATGTGCTTTCATTCAGTTGGTTCCTTTTAGGTCGTTTTGGACTTATTTTTGCTTTCATAAGAAGAGAAAATGTTTTAAATGGTTTTTCTTAACATTTGTTTTTCTTACACCTTGTCAGATTTTTACCCCGACAGAAGATATTAGGAAATTGAAAAAAATGACTTAAAAACGATGCAAAAAGGAACGCGGTGTAATGATCGGTTTTTTTATGAAAAATAATTGGAAAGTTTTATAAAAGTAACTTTTAATAAACAGTTTTGAAATGTTGAAAGTTTTGTTAATTTTCCTTTTAATACCGATCCAAAGCGATAAACACTACACGTTTCTCTATAAATTGCAAGTTCACTTAACATTTCATCGACGCTCCCAAAATAATATATTTCTATGAATTAAGTGTAATACGTTCACAAAATTTATTTCGTAGATTCCTGTGTAAGAACAAACCTTAATGTGTTAGACGTCTGTGATTTATGTTTTTTTTGTCTTTATTTACAGATATGTAAAGTGTAAACTGGACTCAGGTTGCAGAGGACTGGGACTTTTTGAACTCATGAATAGCGAGACTTAAATTATCACATCTAAAATCTTCTTCAATCTGCTCTTAAGTAACTAAAGATCTAAAGTCGGAATATTGACAATAAAAGCGTCAATTCTTTAACTTTCAACTGGTGTGAAAAAAAAACTTCTGGGTTTTCTAACACAATACAACAATTTTGTAAGAATGTTTAAGCAAATTGATGAAGGTAGATAATGTCGTCTTTCTCGAGCCACTACTTTTGTTAAAAGATTGCTGGGCGACTTTGCACCTTTTAAGATTATCTTCTGGTTTACAAAAAAAAATTCCTTTACCTAGCCAGTAGTTTTCCCATAATCTTTGGGGTTCTTTTCCCGCTCTTTTGGTTTTATTTTCTGTTCATGATGTTTCCTTTCCCGTTATTTTTTCAGTTTCGTTTCTTTGGTTCCTTCCCTGATCTGTTCCGTTGGTTTCACTTTCCGTTTCTTTAGTTTTACTTTCCGTTCATCATGTTTCACTTTCCATTCATTTGGTTTCCTTTTCCGTTCCTTTAGCCGCTCCTTCAGAATTTTTTTGTTGTTTTATTTTGTTTCCTTTACATCTTTTTTCTCGGTTCTAACCTAATCCTACTATCCATGTGTTTGCCCTGTTGAAGATGCAATCTTAAAAGTGTTAAACCCGAAATTTATTCTTTTAAAGATCATAATTCTTCTTAGTATATTTTCAATTAATTAAACAGAATCAAATAAGCATTTATCGAAAACTGGGTTTAGAGAAAAAATGTCAAGATATATGTTGCTTATAGTATTTTCTCAATTAAGAAATGTTATTAAAAAAGCTAAATCGTATTAACATTTTCGAAAACTGGGCTGAAAATTAAGTGGATAATTCTTAATTTTCACAGTATTTTTTCAATTAAGTGAACTATATCAGTTTAGTTTAGAAGAAAGATGATTTATATTTTTTTAAAGTTTCTTAGTATCTTTTCAATTAATAAAACTAAATCAAATGAAAATCAAGGAAAATCTGGGTTCAGATAAAAGGTTATTTATATTATTTAAGTTTCTTAGCATTGTTTCAATTATTAAGACTATTAACAGGGGCGTAAATAAGGATTCTGTATTTTTGTACCCCCCCCCCCTAGAATTTTTTTTACCCCCCCTAGAAAAATATCATACTGTATATAAAACTATTGGTTTTAGTTGGGATTGATCTGCATTTTTCACTCATTTCTGGCATTCACAAACTCCATCAAATAAAGGCTTCATTTCATACCTTTCAGCTTTCACCTTGTTTTATATCCTTCATTATAGTCATTCTTTTTACATTAACTACAAAGATCTGTAAAAAAACTGATTTTATTTTAAGGAAGATAAGAAATAATAGTTTTACTCTCAGAGGAAAAGGATGTTACTTTTTAAAATCTTTAGAAAAGCTACTCTGCAAAACTTTGAAAAAATATTGTCTTTGTTTATATGCTTATTTCTAATTTCTAAAATTTTCTTGTCATCAATGTAGTATGTTAAGAATAAGATCTTAAATAAATCTAATATGGAAATGACATTATTTAGAAGTAAAAATGTATTTTTCATTGCCCATACCCCTTTTTTATATTAAAAAAAAACATCTAATTGTAATGACATTCACTATTACTTTAGAATTTAGAATCATTTAGAATATGTTGACTTAAAATCTGAAATATCTGAAGTATCTGCACATTTAAATGTTTTTCTCGCAAAGGAATTGAGTCTTTGCCACAAAGTCTGATTTTCTAATCACTATATCTTTGGAACCAAATGTTGCATACCTTAGATATTTCAAATTATGAATTGTGTTAGATCAAGTAATCTGAGGTTGAAATATCAAAGTTTTACAACATCGACTTGTGGTTTTAATATTTGATTTTGTTCCAGAGACTCAATTCCTTAAAAAAATATTCAATTTTAAAATCAATCTTTTTTTAAAAACAATAACAAAGTAACAGTTCGCTATTCAGGGCCTGAATAGTTCAGGGGAAATAACCCCAATAACCCCCCTTATTTAACTGACTTAAATAAAATAAACATTTTTTGAAAACTAGATTTAGAAAAAATGATGTTAATTCATAAGTTTCTCAGTATTTCTTTCAGTTCATTAAATTGAATCAAATGAACATTTGTAGAAAACTGGGATTTTAAGAAGAGATGTTTAATTATAAGTTTCTTAGTATTCTTTTAATTAATAAAACTTAATCAAAGCAACGTTTAGAAAAAATTAGTTATCAAACCTGGTTTTAAAACAAAATATAAGAATTTATAAGTTTCTAGTACTTTTATCCATTAATAAAACTAAATCAAAGAAACTTTTAGAAGAAAATGTGAATTTTCAGGTTTCCTAGTATTTTTTTAAATAATAAAACTAAATCAAATGAACATTTAGAAAAGGTTCAAGTTTCTCGGTATTTTTTCGAAGAACAAACGACCAAACATTCATCAAAAACAGGGTATATTAAAAATATGATAGTTTGTAACTTCATGGAATTTTAGTTAAACATTAAAACGAAAGCAAATTATTATTTATTATTTGTTAACTTACAAGTTTCTTAGTATTTTTCCCCAAGATTTATTCCTTTCTTTTGAAAGAATATTTATAGAATTTTACTTTTCACCATTTCACAATTCATGTTTCTGCGTGGACACCTCTTGTTTAAATGTTCAATTGTGTGCACATTTTTATCCTTTGTGCTTTAGTGCCCCCCAAACGTTCTCATCTTTTAAAAAAGGATCTGCCATTCAAGAGCTTCTGGGGGAAGGAACACCTGAAAATATTTATCTCCTATCTTTCCATCTTAGGTTTTATTCTTCATCTTTAACAGGATAAATACCATTCCAGGATACTCCTCAGCTCTTTACCAGATACTCCTGAACTCTTTACCAGACACTCCTCAACTCTACCAGATACTCATCAAGCTTTACCAGATACTCTTCAACCCTTTACCAGATACTCCATAATCCTTTACCAGATACTTCTCAACCCTTTACCAGATACTCCTCAACTCTTTACTAGATACCCCTCAACCCTTTACCAGATACTGATCAACCTTTACTAGATACTCTTCAGCCCTCTACCAGATACTCATCAACCCTTTACCAGATACTTCTCAACTCTTTACCAGATACTCGTCAACTCTTAACTAGATACTCCTCAGCCCTTTACCAGATACTGATCAACCTTTACTAGATACTCTTCAGCCCTTTGCCAGATACTCATCAACCTTTACTAGATACTCATCAACCTTTACTAGATACTCCTCAAAACGTTACCAGATACTTCTCAACCCTTTACCAGATACTCTTCAACTCTTTGCCAGATACTGATCAACCTTTACTAGATACTCTTCAGCCCTTCACTAGATACTCCTCAACCCTTTACCAGATACTATTCAACTCTTTACTAGATACTCTTCAACTCTTTACTAGATACTCCTCAACCCTTTACCAGATACTGATCAACCTTTACTAGATACTCTTCAGCCCTCTACCAGATACTCATCAACCCTTTACCAGATACTTCTCAACTCTTTACCAGATACTCGTCAACTCTTAACTAGATACTCCTCAACCCTTTACCAGATACTGATCAACCTTTACTAGATACTCCTCAACCCTTTACCAGATACTCATCAACTCTTCACTAGATACTCCTCAACCCTTTACCAGATACTCTTCAACTCTTTACTAGATACTCCTCAACCCTTTACCAGATACTCCTCAACCCTTTACCAGATACTCATCAACCTTTTACCAGATACTCATCAACCCTTTACCAAATACTTAACCCGTTACCAGATACTCTTCAACCTTTACCAGATACTCCTCATGATCCTTTACCAGACATTATAAAGTTCTTTCCATAATTTCTTTCTTTCCAAGTCACAAATTTTCCTTATTTAAGAAAAACTATTTGAGATCGTCGCTGATTTTTCGATAATTCTGAGGATCACTGTAAGGTTTGTTCCTGCCAAGGTTTCTAGGATTGAACCGGATAATCTTTTAAAGATTGGTATCTGAGAACTGTATAAGCTAGCAGGCACAAGGTTCTAATCCGTGGCTGGCAGGCTACCGTTCAAGTCTCTTTGAGATAAGGATCCTTTGTAGTTATTAGTGATGCATTTTAATCTGAATACTGGTTAATAAATATTCTTCTCAAAATGAGAACTGAACACAAGGGTGAATATTTTGATGAATTCCCCCCCTCCCGCAGGTTTCTGATTATGTTTCCCTCCTTTATACTTATTATTCAAAAAATAATTAGTGGTATAGGAAGACGACTGTTTAAGTTTAAGTTATAATAGTCAACTGAACATGAAACACACTAATTGTACATTGTGCATGAACCCATTTATCATAATAGGTTGGTTGTCAAGCTGTAGCTCAGACTATTTGTTTTATAACAACATTAAACATTTGTAATTTTTCGTGTACCTTTTCCACAGTTTTGAATTTGGTTTTTTTCAAGGCAATATGATTCTTTTTTCATTTATTTTCGATTTTCACAACATAGTAAATGGAAAATTAAAACAAGACATTTTTAATAAGCTTGAAAAACAGTGAAATAAGGTTTTTTTAAAATAACGTTAGATGTAGAATAGGATATATTTTAATTTCAAGGAACTTCTATCTGGGTTCCTACATATATATAAATTCGGTTGATAATTTTTTTGTTTTCAGAACCAGGATGTGCTTACTGTGAGGAAAAAGCAGGATGAAAGACGATATACAGGACAGTACGTGAAAACTGTACAGTACTGTACAGTACACTGGATTTAAGGTATAGTACAGAAAAAAACAAGATGAACACCGTACACTTCAGCAAAGGTGACATGAATTACTGTTCAGAAAACTGGAAGTAAATTGTACACTTGTACTGCTTTTACAGACCAGCAATCGTCTACTCTACCTTGTAAGATAGGGTTAATTTTAATCCATGATAGAAAAAAGGTTTGGTTTGATTTGATTTGATCCTAATCCAGATAGTTAAACTGGATTATAACTTTATATACGAGGCGGTATAACCGACGTTGGTTTTTTGTTAGCTGGGTTTGAACATGATCAGGTATGTCGAGTGGAATTAGATCTTGCTATTCATTAGTTCTGACCTCTGTTTGGTTTTGATATTTTACTCCAGTTCCTATTATGCAGATTTATGCGAACATATAACAATAGGAAAAGTAAGACGACTTGAATTTACGATTTTAAATAGTTTAATTAACATTAATTAAACACAGCAATTGTGCGGTGTACATATATCCATGCTAGCTTAATAAGTCAATTTGTCAAGTTACCCGTAAAATTATAATTTGATTGATTACAACATTCTTTGCAAATAAGATTGCTAACATACTGCCTCCTTTTTTTTAACTATTATGGGACCCACTGTATAATTTATTAATCAAATTGAATATTGATCCTAGTTAATTTGGTTCCCTTCTCTCTACTTTTTATTTTATTATTTTTTCACATTCTAAAGAAAGAAAAAAAATCAAGTATAAAAAAAGTTTTTTATATTATTTGACAAATACATTTGATGCTTAAAAAATAAATAAATAAATAAAATTGAATTGGATTTTTTAACACTTTCCAAGTAAACTTTTAAAAGTGTATACAATTCAAAGAAAAATTTAAATTGTCCTATGTTTTAAAAGTGTATACAATTCATAGAAAAATTTAAATTGTCCTATGTTTTAAAAGTGTATACAATTCATAGAAAAAATTAAATTGTCCTATGTTTTAAAAGTGTATACAATTCATAGAAAAATTTAAAAGTCCTATGTTTTAAAAGTATATATAATTCATAGAAAAATTTAAATTGTCCTATGTTTAAGAGTATATACAATTGATAGAAAAATTTAAATTGTCCTATGTTTAAGAGTATATACAATTCATAGAAAAATTTGGATTGTCCTATATGATTTAAAATGCTTTTAAAAACTACTCGATCTCTTACTTCGAAGAATTGATTGTTTATTTACCTCCAGTAAAAATCTTTCTCCCTGTAAATATTCTTCTCAATCACGTGTTTTTAAATATTTATTTTTACTTCTGACTTAATAATTAATTATCAACATATTTTTGGCGTATTTCTGTTTGCTTATTTAAGGTGGTGTTGACTGGAGTAGGTTGCAGTATATCTCTGTATTCACCCTCCTGCATAAATATTTAGATTTCTTTACCTTAAATTCAACCTATACGTAATTATAATCTAAACAAACGCATATCTTATACATATATTTTTCATCACACATGCTTCTTTAAACAAATTCCAAATACATATTCTTGAGGTTATAACATTTTAAGATTTAAGCTTATGTCAAGAAATACATAAATAATATGAGACTGCGAACTGTGAATCTCATTAGCTCCTAAGCTCAAGTTTCTTCACAATATTTCCCNCTATAGATTGCAACGACTTTACATACACATGTAATCATATGATTTATTGGTTTATTTGCAATCAGTAAAGCAATGATCTAATACTAAACTTAAACAAATTTTTTAATTACAGTTCTAAAATCAATTTCCAAAATAATTCAAACATTGAAACAAGATAATTAGGGGGTTTCTCCACCCCCTTCCTCCCCCTGCCCGCCCTCAACCCTCATCACCCCGCTTAATCACCTCTGTCGAATCATCCCCCACTTGAAAACCGGTTCCCCGGTCCGTCTCTCCGCGCCAAAATAATCTCAGCTCGACCCAGGCTATCCCAGCAGGGAGCCGATTTAAGCTCCCCATGTCTGTCCGCGCCAAATTTTGTACTAGACCGCCTATTCTTCTGCCCTTGTTCTATGAGTAGCGAGTAGGACTACAAGGAGTAGGACATTTCTACTAGTTTACTAGTTAGTTCAACAGAGACTGTGAAGGTGGAGGGTCACAGATAAATTTCTTTAAATGACAGTTTTGTGAAATCCAAATTGTTGTCAATTATAAAGATTACTGATTCATAAGAGAGTCTTAGAAAGAGGTAAATTATTTTCTTTTAAGTCCATTTTGGCCTTAAAACATATTTTTTTCTACTGAGATATCGTTAAAAAAAATTCGTGTTTTTTTTCTGAAATTCCAACAAATTTATCTAAAGCACAAAGTGATAATAAATTCCTATTCCTGAATCCCATTGCAATTGCAACTGTCTAAATACAGTGACCAAACTGTAAAATTGTTTATTTTACCTATTGCTCTGCTACTGCAAAAAAAGTACTTTCCAGATCTCTTATGTAAACTGTATTTTTGACAGATTTCGTTATCAGGTATACAGCAGATTTAGCATTATCAGTAGCAGTTGAATTAGCTGTTTTCTTAGTATAGGATTATGATTAAAATAGATAACATTACAAATAATATTTTTTCAGGGTTCGTTAGAAATGATCTGAGTCACTGAAGTGTTCCAAGATGATAAAATTTCTTCTCTTTGTGTCTCTTTCCCTTGCAGCACACGCATCTGATATCAAAGGTAAATAATAAAGCTTTTATTATTTTGATTAATTTAAATTCAAGTTTTATGGAGCAGTTATATTAGCCCTTATTTGATTTATATGAATGAAACTATTAAGTACAAAATTCCAGAACTTATATTTGCAATAATATTCCATGAGAAATTTTAACAAGCTTTCGGTAAAGCTATGTAACTGGAATATTTTATGCTAGTTTTAAAGCAGTAATTATGATTATTTAAAAACAGAAAATAATCAGTTGTATTTTAAACGGGGTTTTGCATTTGATTTTTAATCTTGTAACTTTTTCAGGTCCGCCCATTGCAAGTCAAAGAAATGTGTTTACGGTTGGTAGGATGGGAGAAGAGATAAAACTAATCTGTCCTGTAGAGGGCAACCCAGCTCCCATGATAGAATGGTTTAAAGGTGATGAGAAAATAGATTTCCAGTTTACCAGATATAAACCAAACCGGAGAAATCTAAAGATACGGGACGCATCTGTCTCGGATTCTGGTCGATTCTACTGCCGTGGAATCAATGGATACGGGAAGGAGCAGATTACAATTGATCTCATCGTAATTGATCCCCTGGAGTTTCCAGATCTGCCTGAGGGAGAACTGCCCGATATTTCTCCTCCCAGCTTCTCCACGGATACCCTGAAAGCTAGAGTAGAATATGACAAGAAGGTTGGCGACACAATCACCGTGTCCTGCACAGTTTCTGGTAAACCCTATCCTGAGGTGAGCTGGTATAAGAACGGAGTTCAAATGTTCAACAATATTGAGTTCAGCGGAGAAACATCCCTTCTACGGATTCGTAACCTTAAAGTTGAGGATTCTGGAACGTACACCTGCGTCGGACGCAATATGGCCGGAGATTTGAGTAAAGATTATCGTCTGAGTGTACGTAACACGATGCTAGACAATCCTATAATATTCAACACCCCGACCAATCAGACAGTAAAGCAGGGTGAGTCTGCATCCCTAGACTGTAGAGTTCAGAGTGCTATTCATCCTACAGTTAAATGGTTGAAGAAACTAGATCCTAGAGAACGATACAGTGATATTGAAATAATAACCGTTGGAGAGGAGAGTTATAGGATTATAGAAAGCCTAGGTATTAACCCTAGTATGTCGGATATTAAGAAAGAGGTTTATGTGAGTCAGCTTGAACTTGTAAATGTTAAACCATCTGATGCTGGGATGTATATTTGTTTTGTGACTAATATTATGGGCGGGTTCAACTTCAAGCCCGCCTACCTTACAGTCCTAGCCAGTAACGAGTCAATGTTTGAGTCTCCCTTGGGGTTGTCCGTGTCTATTGGATTGGCAGGGATTACTCTCATCATTATCTTATGTTTACTCTTCTGTCTGATCAGGAAGAAGAACAAGAAACCTGATCAGGAGGTTGGAGAGGTTCGGTCCACCCTTCTTATACCCGCCGCACCTCCTAGTATCCAGGATACTGTTTACAGTAAAACTGGACAACCCCTTCCTCCTCCTCCAACCCCTGTACAGTGGTCCATGGTGTACGGTCAAAATGTACAAACAAGCTATACAGATTCAAGTCAGTATGGTGGAAATACATACGAAGTTCCCCGCTACGGCGATTATGTACAAAATCCGCGAATATCGCCAGTTGGCGGTTTTGTGTACGGCGGGTACAGAAAACAACAGTCAGATATTTATTGAGCTTATTAGTTTAAACTAACTTATACTCCAGTAATCCCCAATTCATCCTTCTCCATCTACTTAGATTCATACTGATGATAAACCAACATATTTTCTGTGATATATATTGTATCTAACACCTATGTAGCATAAAATATTTGTTAGAAAATTAATAAAAAAATGTTTTGACCTATTATGTTTATTATGTCTGATGTAGGAGGTTATACAATTTGAAATCTAAATAATTGAATTTTTCATTTAAAANCCCTCTTCCTCCCATGTTTTTTATTAAAGTGATCAGTTAGGGTCGGACATGAATGATAAGAGATTTATCACTGATATTACAGAACACTGAGCATCAGGAGAGTTCTTATTACACCAGATCCGTCAAGTTCACTTTTTGCTCGGCTGTACTTATTCATTTTACATTCTCTAACATTTCTACTCGACTTTTCTACACATTTCTCTTAACTTATCTTACATTTTTTCTTAACTTATCTTACATTTTCTCTTTACTCTAGAACATCCTTATCTTTAAATTCTTCATTTTCTTTTTCCGTTTCTTCTATTCACATTCATAAGTGACTACAAAATAAATTATTTTTCCAAACATTTATAAAAACTTAATTTTTTATGTGCATAAAGAATAGGAATAGAAGTGTAAAAACAAAAAATACTAAAAACTTTAGTGAAATAAAAGCAATAAAATAACTATTTGATATTGATAAACTTACTTATCTCAAAATTCAATGTCTTCCTTTCTATGTTGTTCTTTACTTTAAAATGGATTAAGTAAGATATCTAAATGAAGGNCTTTACAAAACTAGAGGGGGCGCGGACCCTTGCCCTCCCCCCCATACCTTGATAAAATGCATTTCATGAAACTTAAACTCAAGTTAAGAATTAATTAGAAATAAATAACAACTGTTTTTTGTTATGTTTTTTAATATCAAGAAATTTGGAGGGATTTGCTTTCGCATTTATTTATTGAGTTTCTAAATTGAAACTTGATAAAACTGCTTCATAATTTATATCTCTTCAATAATAATCCTATGAAAAATTGCATTCCTGAGAGTCTTGGTGTCAGTTCTTTTGGGGCAGTGTTTCTTGTCCTTTTTCTGTACTTGGATCTGTCACTTTCAAATTTGCGTTTTTATCCCCTTCTTACGTTTAAATGTTTACAAAACACCCTTGGTGTCCTAGGAATGTCTCTTCTTTTAATTCTTAAACTTTTAGTTATAGTTTTTTTTTCTTATATAGAAGTATGTTGTGTTTTGAATTCATATGTCAAGAATTTTTAGTTTTTGGAATTATAAATGGTTTCACAACAATCGGAGAATTGTTACAAATTTTAAAAAATTTTATTCTAAACATTTGATTTTCTTACAATCAAATTTGGATCCTGACAGAAAAAAATATACTTGCTTTTCCTTTATATACTCTCCAGTCTCCTGCAAAGTTTAACTGTTTTAAAATGTTGGACGTTTTATTAATATTTTTTAAAAACGAACCATAACGATTAAGAACACTTTAGTGTTGATGATGAACGAAATTCACCAAATAAAGTATGATGTTAGTTCCACACTTTATTGAACAAATATGTATATCGGTTCTTGGTTGACCCTCGTCAGTTCTTGAGATTGTTTCTGTCATGAAGATTCTAAACATAAAACCCTAAAAACACCAATTGGGCATAAATATTAAAGATTTTCCCATGTAATTGATGTTACTGATCTGTCTTAATGTTATCTGTTACTATTCTATCTTTGAGTCCGTGTATGTGTAGAAGTATTTGTATATCTGGGTAGTCTCAATCTGAACAAATATAAACTGATCTTGGATATACAGTATACACGCTAATACCCCCCCTCCCGGAATAGATATTCATTCCCCCCCCCCCTTCCCGAAGTAAATATTTTTCTCTTCCCTCTCAGGGGTGTTTATTAATCCACACAATTGTGCAGTGTACTTCATAAGCTGATTTTCTAGATATTTGTAGAACAAATTTGTTTATCATAACATCATATACACGTAGGATTTCTCAAAAGTCGTCTTCATATTACACAGCTGTATGTGTCACACAGTGTAAAAAATTGAAGATTTGACCAAAAAAAGTAAAAAGTATGAAAATCTACATTTAATGGGTGAAACGGAGATTCGAACATTAAGGACTTTTTAGAGATCCAAAGAATCGATCCCCCTGTTTTACAGGTAAGTGCCAGGATTTAAAAAAAAACATTATATTAAATTCTCCTCCCCCATGTTAACAATGTAATCATTTTTAGTTTTTTTGCTTGTCGTTTTTAGCATTTTTAACTCAATCTCTCAATCTTTTTTATTTAACACTAAAATCTCAATGTAATAAAACATTTTATTTATTTTTACTATCCCCCCCCCCATATGATTTATTGAAATGTAATTAAATTAAATCTTATAATGATCAAATTATTGCAGATAGAAAAGCAATGCTGGGTTTTGTTTAAAGAATTTGTTACTAAGCTAGTTTATGTATATTAATATGCATATAAAAGTGTAAATAAATATCAAGTATCTTTTAAGTGTTGAATTTAATTTCCCTGTTGTTTGAAAGTAGATAAGAGTAGCCAGGGCATACTGTAGTGAACACAGACTGAAGTACATTTTTAACGGGGGGGGGG